TTAGCGACAGAAATGTTGGGCTCAGTTGTGGCCGTACGTTGAGGACTACCTGTCGTGAAGAATGGGATGGAACGGATTCCTTTGAACAAGGCAAGGTTATTGCTAGGAGAGCTGGTATCGTTTTTCGTGGAAAAAAATAGACCAAAAGGGCAACAGCTGCTCTTGATGAAAGGGAGATTTAAATCTGGATGCAGAATTCCTTCTCATCCCACTCCCTAGCACAGATTCCCATCCTAGTTGCCGTTTATTCCTAAGAGGAATTTAGCGTGTCTCAGCACTCAGATCATTTTTAGGAAACCTCAGCGATGTGGCTGTAATGTTATATTTTTTTTTAAGGAGTCGGCTTGGGGCCATTTTTTAAAAATCTTCGTGGGGTTGTGGGTATCTTTGCCATATCGGATAATATGGATTTAATAAACACTTAAAGAAAAATCCACACGCCCTATTTATGCACCAGCATAAGACACCCAAAACAGGAAGGTTTTTTGAAAAATAAAATAAAAAATTGCAAACAGACCGTTTGTAGGTAGTCCTTGACTTACAACAGTTCATTTAGTGACATTCTAAGTTACAATGGCACGGAAAAAGTGACTTAGGACCGTTTTTCGCCCTTATGACTGTTGCAGCATCCTTGTGGTCATGTGATCAAAATTCAGACGCTTGCCAGTTGATTCACACTTATGACGGTTGCCGTGTCCCTGGGTCACGTGATCCCTTTTTGGGACCTTCTGACAAACAGAGACCATGGGAAGCCAGGTTCTCTTAAGAACTGTGCAACTAATGTAACAACCGCAAGCATTCCCTTAACAACTGTGGCAAGAAAGGTCGTAAAAAGGAACAAAATTCACTTAACAAATGTCTCACTTAGCAACAAAAAATTGGGGTTCAATTTTGGTTGTACGTTGAGGATTAGCCGTATTTCTGAATAATTTGCTTGTGCAACTGTAACATTTGTAGAGATGATAGGGAGGCTGTTAACAGCAACAGCTAAAGCACAGGAGGGCAAAGCTTTGGGGCCTTGAATTGGAAGAATAGAATGGAATGGAATAGAACAGAATAGAAAATATGGAATAGAATGGAATAGAATACAATAGAAAATATGGAATGGAATAGAATGGAATGGAAAATATGGAATAGAATAGAATAGAACAGAACAGAATAGAATAGAATAGAATAAGAGTTGGAAGGAACTTTGTAGGACAGCTAGTCCATGGATGCAGATCCTCATTCTGTGGAAGAAATTTCATCCATTTAGCCTAGGGGTGTCCAGCCTTGGCGACTTTTAAGACCTGGGGACTTCAACTCCCAGAATTCCCCAACCAACTCAGGTCATAACTCACTTTTTTTTCAGTGCCGTTAACTTTGACTGGCCACTAAACTACCTGCATTAGAAACAGCCTGCAGAACAAATGGATCTAGTATCATTTTTAATCTGCATAGCTTTAGGTTATTTTTAATTATTTTTCTGTTTGTCTTTCATATTCTGGCCACCCAGAGTTGCCTTTTAGAGAAGATGGGCGGCATAAAAAAATAATAAATTGCCTGTGCAGCTACATCCTGGACTAGCTGCAACTTTCTACTTAGTTTCAAGGGCAGCCCCATTTATCATTTTATTATTACTGTAAAGATATTGCTATACTGCTCAAGCTCCTTGAAAGATGATGAGGGTAAAACTTAACATCAGTAGCAGAGATGTCCACTCTGCAAATTGTCCATGATTGTACATTCCCTTCTTTTTGAGTTAAATTTAAATTAAAAATGGCATGTGTGCCTTACCACAAGGAGAAGTCTCCCACTAGTTGAGAATTGTTCTGCCTTCTAGGTTGCTTTTCTTGCACGTTTTGCACTGAACCCATTTAGATGTGCTTGGTCTAAACCAGTGATGGCGAACCTTTTAGAGACCGAGTGCCCAAACTGCAACCCAAAACCCACTTATGCATCGTTGGGGGCCGGGTGGGTGTGGCCCATTGGCTGGGCGTGGCCCATTGGCTGGGCATGGCTGCGGTGGTAATGGCAGACTGGGTGGGACTACAAAGTTCAATCAATTCCAACTTTGCAAGATCTTTTTTTTCCCGCGAGAAGTTGAAATTGACTGATTGATTGAACCTTTTTTTTTTTTTTTGCACATGGCGGCGGAGGCCTAAAGTGAAATGGTTTTATAAAACCCAGCTGAAGGACTAGGAGTGGGGCGACAGTACGCGTGCCACAGGCTCTGAGTGTCACCTCTGGCACCTGTGCCATAGGTTCGCCACCACTGGTCTAAACTAAACTTCCTTAATTTCAGGACTAGTGGTTCTATACTTAAGACAGGAGCAGTTCCTTATCTCTTAATACAGTATAAGAAAAAAACATTTTTTTTATTTAGAATCGAATCAAATCGGATAGAATAACAGAGTTGGAAGGGACCTTGTAAGTCATCTAATCCAATCCCTCCCCCACAAAAGCAGGAGACCCTACATCATTTCTGACAAGTGGTCCAGTCTCTTCTTGAATGCATCTGTCCATATCCATTTCATAGTCTTTGGTCATTATCCACGATAGCACATGGGGCAAACAGCTGGCTAGAAAAGAGGCATCTAAATTTAGGCATTCTGTTTTCTGCTGCTTGTATTGTTAAACTTAGCTCTGAGGGAAAGCAAGGGAAAACAAGTAAGTTCTCTTGTTTCTTGTGGAGTGTTGTTATCTCAGTTGGATTGACTGATTATTTCATTTTTCTATATACTCTGCAATATCTCTGCGTGCTGCTTTTGAGATTCTCAAACAATGGTGATGGTTTTTATAGACGTGATGTGGTTGGTTGGAGAAATGAAAGTCATCTTTTAATTTAAAAAGTTGGAATGTAATTTCTACTGCTTTTTTTAAGTATATAAATTAAAGTGGGAGGCTTGAAGCTGGTGGAATCTCTCTTCTCCCTTAACTGATATTCTATGGCTGTAATTTTGAAGGCTTCTCTTTGTTAAATCTAAGCAGGACGATGAAGAGAGTTCTGCTGAATAGATTTTATGTATTAAGGCAATTTGACAGTTGTTTTTCTCCGATATCGTCGTTTTTTTTAAAGCAGGGTCAAAAAGTTGCAATTGTATATACATTATGAGGTGGGAATGATCTATGAAGCTACTGGTACCCTGTAACTTTTTATTTAAAAAATAGATCTAAATGAGAACTTCAGTCAAAATAAACAACACTTTTTGTTGTATTAAATTTTCAAACATAAGTAGTTTGGTACATTTTCTAGAAGGACTCCGCTGTTCTGCACCAACAAGAAATAAATTGTTATACGATGTTTTAATGGCTAATATATTTACTGTGAAAATTAACATTCTATTTATATAAAACATTCTAGCCATATAAAACATTACCCCAATTGGGTGCATTTATAAAGGACGAAAAAAATATTAGGAGCGGTATAAATATACCCTAGAAACTTTCTACATGATATTAAGTTATATTTCCACAACTCTTTACCTGTTTGTTTAGGGTGGAATTTTGGCAAGCTTTTATCCTTTAATTCTCTAATTATTTATCTGCTGCAGAGTAGTGTAAAAGCAACAGTAATTTAAAAAAAAAACCACATTCATAAATATTATTTCATCTTTATTCTGCCAGGGTTCATAATAAAATACGATTGCCTTGTTGATGTATTTCTGCTGTTTAAGTTTGCTGAAATTCTAAGGGTACTATTGTATTGCTTTCAGATGGTATTAAATTGCTTTTTGTTTTGACAAATATTGACCATTTACAGAACTGAATGATGGAAACTAACAGTGGGGGATTACTCAACCATAGATTTGTTGCCAGTGAACGTTCCCACTATCCTGATATACCATAGTCCTTGACTTATGGGAATTTTGATCGTTAAGCAAGCTGTCACGTGACCAGACCTGATTTTAGAACCATTTTTATTCAGCCATTAAGCAAGTTGTATGGTCATTAAGGGAAACATGTAATTGTTAAGCAAATCTGGTTTCCCCAATTGCCTTTGCTTGTCAGAATAGCAATAGCAATGGCATTTAGACTGCCCCATGGTGCTTTCCAGCACTGTCTGGGTGGTTTACAAAGATTGCAGCCTATTTCCCCAACAATCTGGGTCCTCATTTTACCGACCTCAGAAGGATGGGAGGCTGAGTCAATCACGAGCCCCATCAGGATCGAACTCCAGGCTGTGAGCAGAATCTGGCAGGAAAGGTTGTAGTCATAACCGTGTGACTGCAAGATCCTGCACCCACTGTAAATCTGAGCCTCTTGCCAAGCGTCCAAATTGCAATCACATGACCATGGGAGTTGTGCACCGGTTTGAGGATGGATCCTAAGTCACTTTTACTAAGAACATCTTAATTTTAAACTGTTGAAAGAAAAATCTTCATCAGGGTCCAGTCCAAGCTGGGAATAAACAAAATGGAGACTGCTTTAGAAAGAAGGTTGCAGTTTATTTAGTTGCCAGAAACTTCAGTGACAGCAGCATATTTCTGGGGTGGCTGACAAAATGGAGGTGGGAGTGGTGGATTAATCCTATTATGTACTTAAGGTCATGTCTTTAGATTTTGGGTGGGATTGTAGGTTTTTAGGGATCTTTGTCTTCCTGATCCCAGCAGCTTCAAGCTTCCTGGCTCCAGTCTTTCTGAAAGGATGATCAAATCTTCATTTCTACAGAGCTGGCCTGCTGAGTTTCTGCTTAAGGGAGACAGAGAAGTTTCTGCCTTTTAAGATTTTCTCCCATTATTCCTTCGTGAAATATAATATTCTGCCTTTTCAAATACCCCCCCCCCCCAACAAATATTTCCTTCTCTGGGGGGGGAGTGCTGACTTCCTAAAAAACCATTGTTAAAGTCAAGGATTACCCGTAGCCTTGCAGGTTATTGCATTTCCAGTCAATTCGTTAGCCTGAAATTAGAATTCTGTCCCAACAATGCTCGTTGATTTTTCTCCCCGTATTTTGAAAAACCACTTCTATGAAATAGAAGGATTTAATTTTTTTCTTAACTGTTTTCTTAACTGCTCAGGCAGCCGCGAATAGAAGATGGCCTCGTGTCTGTACGAATGCCTCTGTGAGGCAGAACTCCAGAAATATTATCCTCATTTTACCGCCCTCGGCTTTCAGAAGATCGACGAACTGGCCAAGGTCTCCATGAAGGATTACAGCAAGCTTGGGGTTCATAACATGAAGGACCGCAAGCGTCTCTTCCAGCTCATTCGGATTATCAAGATGTTGCAGGCTGAAGAGGAAGTGGTCAGGAAAAAAGAGGAAGATTTTCAAAGAAGCGCCCGCCATCTGCGACCTCAGCTCACTCGGTCTGGCCCACGGAGACAACTTCATTTTGATTCCGAGGAAAAAGCTGAACGGAAGGACTGTGTACCCGAGTCAAGCACTTTATCTCACAGTTCTTCCAATGAGAGTAAAGAAGAGGCCGCTCCAGAGTTCAGCCATGATTTGCTCTCCAAAAGACCCATAGCTTGGACGGAGGATCAGCTTGTTGCTCCAGCTAGAAGTTCCTCTAATGATGTTTTAGGAGATGCCGACATATCCTTTGTGCAGAGGGTAGCTCATATCTCAGGCTACAATTATGGAGTGCCTCATTCTTACACCAGGTGATAATTTTTTGTTATTTGCATTTCTGTTCATGGAGAAGAGGCTAATGGAGAACGCAGAACAATAGGGCTGGAAGGGACCTTGAAGGTCTTCTAGTCCAGGGCTTTTCAACCAGTGGTACGGGTACCACCTGTGGTACATTGGCACCTGGCAGGTGGTACGCGACCATCCTAGAAAAGTGATAGCGGGGGAGGGGAATGAGCTGAACCGGTGGCAGCACCGCACAAGCCTGAGCGAGAGATGGCTGGAGCTGCAGGGCTGTCAGGGCTCAGTGGAAGCGCCAGGATCAGTGCCAGCTCCAACTGGAACTCGGCGCTGATCCTGGCGCTTCTGCTGAGCCCTGAAGAAGCACCAATCAGTTGGAATGTTGCAGCATCTCCAGGGTCTTGTAATTTACATTCAGATGCTTGGCAACTGATTCATATTTATGACGGTCACAGTGTCCCAGGGTCATGTGAAGTGACCAAAACCTGCTGCAATCACCCAGCAGACGGGGGGAATAAAAACCAAATACCCCACTCCCACTGCCAATCCTCAACAGAAATGCTCACAACAATGAAAACCTTGGACAGGAGGAAGAGCGCCGCTGGGCGGGCAGGCAGGTGTCTTGCTCGGCTGTGGCTTGGGGGGCACTTTTTTCAGTGCCATTGTAACTTCGAATAGTCACTAAGCCAGTGGTTCTCAACCTGTGGGTCGGGACCCCATTTGGGGTCGAACGACCATTTCACGGGGGTCGCCAAACAAGGCTGTCCGCCATTTTTTCCCCTTTTTCTTTGGCCACGCCCCTGGCACCCGGTGATGTATAAGTGGTTGGGGGTCACCACAACATGGGGAACTGTATTATGGGGTCGCGGCATTAGAAAGGTTGAGAACCACTGCACTAAGCGAACTGTCGTAAGTCGAGGACTACCTGTACTTTATCACTTTTTTTTCCTTCCTCCCCACCCCACCCTGTTCCTGCCCTCCCCATCCATAATTGGATCGTTATGTTTCCTGGTATTATTGATCTTTTTATTCCACATATATATATATATATATATATATATATATATATATATATATATATGTAGGTCTTTGGTTGTTCGGGTTTTCTCCCGCGTAAAATTGGAAGTGTCTTGGCGACATTTCGACGAAGTCCCATTCGTCATCTTCAGGCTGGTGCTTTCAGCTTCGTGCCTCGAGCAGCAATGTGTGGTCTTAGCTGTTTCTTCCTTTTAACTGCCAGTGGGGGTATGAACTGATTGGATGGGAGCTTGGCTGTGTTCTGATTGGGTGGAGGTGTGTTCTGATTGGTTAGGGGCGTGGCTGTGCTCTGTAAGTTGGGTTACAGCCCAGCGACCTACTAGTGAGCTTCGATGTCATATCCCTCTTCACACAAGTGCCTATCAAAGAAGCCTTGACAGCTATCCAAAACAAATATAACCCCCCCCCAAACACATCTTAGATCTGACCAACCACTGCCTATCCAACACATACTTCATCTATAATGGACAAAAATACAAACAAACAGAAGGAGCACCCATGGGATCACCCCTCTCACCTGTCATTGCCAACCTCTACATGGAACACTTTGAAACCCAAGCTCTAGAAAAATCTGATCACAAACCCAAACTCTGGCTCAGATACGTAGACGACACCTTCATAATCTGGCCACATGGGAAAGAAAAACTGGACAACTTCCTCACACACCTCAACAGCCTACACCCCAAAATACAGTTCACCATGGAAACAGAAGCTAACAACCAACTTCCCTTCCTGGATGTCTTAGTCTACAAGAAATCCAATGGCTCCCTAGGACACACCATCTACCAGAAGAAAACACACACAAACCGCTATCTGCACGCTCTCTCACACCACCACCCAGCACAGATCAACTCTGTAGCCAAGACAATCATCTCCAGAACAAAACGCTTAGCTGACGAACAACACCTAAAGCCCGAACTACACACTCTCACCAATGTACTAACATCCAATGGATTCCATAGAAATAAGATTACAAACCTAATCCAAAAAGAAACCCCCCCTAAAATCCAAGACAAAGAACAAGAAAACGGCAAAGCCATCCTCCCATACATAAAAGGCATCACAGACAGAATCAGTAAGATCCTCCATAAACACAACATCAAAACCGCATTCTGCACAAACAGAAAAATATCCACCATCCTTAGAAACCCCAAAGATAAAATTGAATTAGAAAATCAAGGAGTATACGAAATCCCATGCACAACTTGTCCCACCACATACATCGGACAAACCAACAGAAGAATAAGTGCACGCATTGAAGAACATAAGAACTCAGTCAAAAAAGAGGAACCAACATCTTCCCTGGTCCAACACCTTAAAGCCACAGGACATGAAATTGACTTTAAAAATACCAGAACCATTGCCAAAAGTGAACATTTTAATAAAAGAATAATCAGAGAAGCCATCGAGATAGAAAAACGCCCACACAGCATGAACAAGCGAGATGATACCTCCCGCCTACCAGCCATTTGGAAACCCGCCCTCAGTGACAAACGACTCCCTAACACAAAAAATGATACCAGACCCACACTCACAAAAACCACACAGGAGGTCACCACCAAACATCCACGCAAAAAAACAAACCCAAAGCCACACTGACTATGAGGCACGACCACAAACCAGAAGCCAGACCACAGCTGCATCATTAGCCACTTTAAACCCCCCAAATCCATACATGAAGCAAACTGACACCCTCCATGAAGAGGAAGCACGACCACGAACGCGAAGCCAAGGAATGGCAGGGCAGCCCAAAATCTTGAATCCCTCTGCAACTCAGACTAACCTGAGCACAACCAATCAGAGCACAGCCAACCCCCCAGCCAATCAGAGCACAGCCAACCCCCCAGCCAATCAGAGCACAGCAACGCCCCTAACCAATCAGAACACACCTCCACCCAATCAGAACACAGCCAAGCTCCCACCCAATCAGTTCATACCCCCACTGGCAGTTAAAAGGAAGAAACAGCTAAGACCACACATTGCTGCTCGAGGCACGAAGCTGAAAGCACCAGCCTGAAGATGACGAATGGGACTTCGTCGAAACGTCGCCAAGACACTTCCAATTTTACGTGGGAGAAAACCCGAACAACCAAAGACCTACATACAAAATACCCGCGAAAACCTCAGAAAACATATATATATATATATATATATATATATATATATATATATATATATATATATATATATATATATATAATGATTGTAAATTGCTCAGAATTACCCTGTGGCGAGATGGGCAGCTGATCAATTTTATACCTAATTAAAATAAATACCTAGTTCCCTTCGCCACTTATTGTACAGTATTGTACACCCTTTTGCGTGTTTTCCTCTGTGTGATGGGATAGCAGCACATTTGAAATCCTATCTTTCGTAGAACGGGTGCATCCGAGAAAGAGACGCCGTGGATCGAAACGGACAAGATCCGTGTGTGTGTACGAAAACGCCCCCTCGGTTTACGAGAAGAGAGGCGTGGAGAAGTGAACATCCTCACAGTGGAAGACAAAGAAACTCTTCTGCTCCATGAGAAGAAAGAGGCAGTTGACCTCACTCAGTACATTTTACAGGTGTGTGTGTGTGTGTGTGTGTGTGTGAGAGAGAGAGAGAGAGAGAGAGAGAGAGAGATCAGTTCTTAGCATAACTTAACTTTAGAATGTTCAGTTCAATGAACTACTACTACAGCTACTATTCAATTCAATGAACTACTACTACAGCTATTGACTTTTAGGAATATCTATTTTTCCCCATCTTTCTATATCCCTGTATCTATATCCCAAAGGTGCTTTTCCCAAAGGCAACTGGACTTCCAGCTGCCTTTGGGACAAGCATCCCCTGAATGACTGAGAATTTCCACAGCCATCTTTCTATAGCTATACCGACTGCTTTCTTCCCCAGAGATAACGACTTGATGGAGCTTAGAAATAAAACGAGACAGATAATTTTTTTCCTATACTGTATATCTATTTGCTGTTGCTGATGGTGTTGCTTCTCAGTGGGTCTAATGTGGCTTTGTATTATCAGACCAATATAGCTTCTCATAACTTTAAAAGAGCCGTGGTGGCGCAGTGGTTAGAATGCAATATTGCAGGCAAACTCTGCCCACAGCCAGGAGTTCAATTCTGACCAGCTCAAGGTTGACTCAGCTTTCCATCCTTCTGAGGTCGGTAAAACGAGGACCCAGATTGTTGGGGGCAAAAGGCTAACTCTAAACTGCTTAGAAAGGGCTGGAAAGCACTGTGAAAGCACTATATAAATATTAAGTGCCATTGCTATGGCTAAAGGGACCATGTTCCTGGTTATGCCCGCTACCATTATGCCTAGTTAAAGGAATTAAAATCTTTTTTTTTCTTGCACTAAATATCCCTTTTGTCATTTTCAGCATGTGTTTTATTTCGACGAAGTCTTTGGGGAGACATGTTCCAATCAAGATGTGTACATGAAGACCGCCCATCCTCTTATTCAACATGTATTTAGTGGGTAGAGTATCCCTGTTGAATATTTCTTCAGATTAACATTTTCATTGTTCAACTATCTCGGCCTTCAGCTTTACGCCTTCCAAACCTCCAGTTCAGCAATCTTCAGTTTTGGAGAGATTTTAAGAATTGAAGTCTAATTTACTCAAGAGGATCAGCTTTGGGAAGACTGATCTATCACTTTAAAAAGCCAAAGGAAGTGATGTGGATGGAGCTTCAAGACTTAATGGGCCTTCTTCAGGATGAAAGTTGTCTACTGTTTGCTGCCACACACAATAACCCCATTAGGTAACATCATCAGTGCTAGGCTGATGTTACCTAATTTCGGTAATGAAATGTCTGCGAAACCACAATCAAGCTCAGATTTTGTCCATAAGGTGTAAGGAAGGTGTGGGCCTGACTGGATTTCGCCTGTCATCTCTGAGCCTGGACCTATCAGTTCCTCAATACAGCTGTACAGGGATCTGAATAGATTTCAAATTCTGCAGTCTGTTCTGCTTAGTATCTTTGGAAATTGATGGCTTTAACCCCTCTATTTTGCAGCAGAAACGACCAAGAAATAATTTGGTGTCCTAAACCCTGAGGAAAAAAAATCTCTGCCAGCTCCGATCGTTGTGGTTTACCTCAATTTCCAGACATATTTTGCCCCCTATCCTTTATTCACATATTAAAAACATGTAAATATGTGTAATGAAGTATTTATTTATTTATTTATTTATGAGACTTATATACCACTTTAAGTGCAAGCACTCTCTAAGCGGTGTACACCAGTAAGCAATGTGTATATATATATATATATTTACATTGCCCCCAACAATCTGGGTCCTCATTTTACCTACCCCGGAAGGATGGAAGGCTGAGTCAACCTTGAGCCAGTGAGATTTGAACCGCTGACCTGCTGAACACAATCAGCTAAAGTGGCCTGCAGTACTGCACCCTAACTGCTGCGCCACCTCGGCTCATCAAGTATTGTATAAAAATGTGTAATAAAAGTATCACTTTGGGTTACTGTGTGTTCCAACCAAGAGGAATACCCTTGGACATTTTAATCTCTTGTGATGTCTTTATTTCCCCCTTCTGTCTATTCAAATAAATAAAGAGCATACCTAGAATAGAACATCCTGAAGTCATTAACAAAAAGCTTTTCATTATTAATTTTAATCTTTCCTTGGTTGCAGAGGCAATGCCACCTGCTTTGCATACGGACAAACAGGGGCAGGGAAGACCTACACGATGTTTGGCACTCCAAAAAACCCCGGCCTCTACGCCTTGGCCGCTAAAGAGATCTTCAGGCAACTGGAAACCACACAGGCTAGGAAAGACCTCCACGTCTGGATCAGCTTTTACGAGATCTACTGCGGGCAGCTCTATGACTTGCTAAACGGAAGAAAGAGGTATTTAACTCTGAGAACACAAAGTTTATTTTTTTGGGGGGGGGAATGACATAAATCAGATGAACTTCGGTGGAATTACAGCTCCGTGAAAGACCTCCCAAAGCTAGGGAGACTAACGTGCTTTTTAAATAATGTTTGCAGAATTGTGCACGTTGCTTGATGTACAGATAGTCCTCAACTTACAACCACAATGGAGCCCAAAATTTATGTTGCTAAGTGAGACATTTGTTCAGTGACTTTTGACTCATTTTACAACCTTTCTCGAGACAGCTGTTAAATAATAATAACAACAACAACAAAATGCCAAATCCAGTCTGAACATCTGGCTGACTGTGCGATGATCCATAATAATAATAAAGTTTAAAGGGACCTTGGAGGTCATCTAGTCCAACCCCCTGCTCAGGCAGGAAATCCTATACCATTTCGGACAAATGGCCGTCCAGTCTCTTCTTAAAAACCTCCAGTGATGGAGAACCCACAACTTCTGAAGGTAAACCATTCCACTGGTCAATTGTTCTCTCTGTCAGGAAATTTCTCCTTAATTCCAGGTTGCTTCTCTCCTTGATTAGTTTCCATCCGTTGCTTCTTGTCCTGCCTTCAGGCGCTTTGGAGAATAGCTTGACTCCCTCTTCTTTGGGGCAGCCCCTGAGATATTGGAGCACGGCTATCATGTCCCCCCTCATCCTTCTCTTCATTAAACTAAACATACCCAATTCCAGCAACTGTTCCTTATATATTTTAGCCTCCAGTCCCCTGATCATCCATGTTGCTCTTCTCTGTACTCTTTCCAGAGTCTCAACATCTTTCTTACATCGTGGTGAGCAAAATTGGATCAGTATTTCAAGTGTGGCCTTACCAAGGCATTGCAGAGTGGTATTAATACTTTACTACAGTTCACTGCAGTTGTTAAATTAGTACCACGCTTGTTGAGTGAACCTGGATTCCCCCGTTGACTTTTTGCTTGTCACAAGGTCACAAAAGAGGATCACGTGACCCTAGGACACTGCAACCATCATAAGTACGAGTCAGTCGCCGAGCGTCTGAATTTTGATCACATGACCACAGGGAGGCTGCAACGGTTGTAAGTGTGAAAAACGGTCCTAAGTCATATTTTCACTGCTGTTGTGACTTCGAACGGTCACTAAATGAAGCATCGTGAGTCGAGGACTGCATGTATTGAATAAAGATAGCCCTCGACTTAAAACAGTTCATTTAATGACTGTTCAAAAGTTACGACAGCACTGAAAAAAGTGGCATGACCGTTTCTCACACTTTCCACCGTTGCAGCATCCCCGTGGTCACATGATCAAAAATTGAGACGCTTGGCAACTGACTCATACTTATGATGGTTGCAGCGCTCCCGGGGTTGCGTGATCCCCTTTTGCGACCTTAGCAACATCAATTTTGGGCTCCATTGAGGTCGTAAGTCAAGGACTACCTGTACTCCAGATCTTTCAGAGACCCATTGATCTTCCTTCAGAGCATCCCACCAGTAGCAGCTGCTCAATCACCTTGTTATCACTTAGAAACTAATGGAAACTAACCAAGGAGAGAAGCAACCTGGAACTAAGGAGAAACATCCTGACCGTTAGAACAATTAACCAGTGGAACAACCTGCCTCCAGAAGCGGTGAATGCTCCAACACTGGAAGTTCTTAAGAAGAGACTGGACAGCCATTTGTCTGAAATGGTATAGTGTTTCCTCCCTGAGCAGGGGGTTGGAGTCAATGACCTCCAAGGTCCCTTCCAACTTTTATTTTTAATATCAGAAGTCGGGCGAAATGCAACTTTCCTCCTCCGTCTTTTGGTTCATCCCCCATCACAATCAGCGCAGGTGGTCCTCGACTTGAGACCCAAATTTCCATTGTTATAAGCAAGGAAGTTAAATGAATTTTGCCCTGTTTTATGACCTTTTTTGGCCACAGTTGTGAAGCAAATCACTAATTGTTTAAAGGAATCATGTAGTTGCTAAGAGAATCCAGCTTCCTCCATTGAGCTTGTTGTCGGAAGCCGGCCGGGAAGGTTGCAAACGGTGATCACATAACCCCAGGACAGTGCAACTGTCCTAAGTACTTGCCAGTTGCCGAGCACCCAAATTTTGATCACGTGACTCTGGACACGCTGCAACAGCCATAAGAGCGAAAAACGGTCGTAAGTCACTTTTTCAGAAACTTTAGTGGTCACCTAACGAATTGTTTTAAGTGAAGGACTAGCTGTATTTCTTTTTGTTAGTACTGCTGCTGGCTGGTTATTCCTTTATGGCACATTAGAATCATTTCCAAAGCGGTGAAATATTTTAATCCGCCTAAACCAGGGGTAGGCCACCTTGGCTCTTTTATAACTCATGGACTTCAACTCCCAGAATTCCTGAGCCAGCCACGCTGAGGGGAAAGGGAGAGGTTTCCAAGCTGAGCCATGCCGGCTCAGGAATTCTGGGAGTTGTCCACGAATCATAAAAGAGCCAAGGTGGCCTACCTCTGGTCTAGTCTATTAAGCCTGACAGGAGTAGATTATCAGAAACTGGTAGGCCTAGTCCACGGGTAGGCAGCCTTGGCTCTTTTATGACTCGTGGACTTCAACTCCCAGAATTCCTGGGCCAGTCATGCTGAGGGGAAAGGGAGAGATTTCCAAGCTGAGCCATGCCGGCTAAGGAATTCTGGGAGTTGAAGTCCACGAGTCATAAAAGAGCCAAGGTGGCCTACCCCTGGCCTAAGAGGCTCACCACTTAGAACAGGAGGACTTAGGACAGGGTTAGGCAACCTTGGCTCTTTTATGACTCATGAACTTCAACTCCCAGAATTCCTGAGCCAGCCATACTAAGGGGAAAGGGAGAGGTTTCCAAGCTGAGCCATGCCGGCTCAGGAATTCTGGGAATTGAAGTCCACGACTCACGAAGGGGCCAACGTTGCCTCCCCCTGGCCTAGACCGTATTTTATGGAAATCATTGTACCTAACACTTTTTCAAAAGTTTGTTTTTACAGCATTTGTTGCATTTCTTTCCAAGTTTCTCTACTAATCTCTTGAGGGTTTCTCTGCAGGCTTTTTGCAAGGGAAGATAGCAAGCACGTCGTACAGATAGTCGGGCTGCGTGAAGTCCACGTGAATACGGTCAGCTTGCTTCTGGAGGTAATTTTTTTAAATAATATTTTATTAATTTTATATTGAAGTATTTAAAAAGCAACGTGGTGACTGGTTTAATCAATAGTTCGATAACAAAATCTTTAGTGCAAATCTCAGGTTACAACATCAGATATTTCTTCTCTTTTTCCCTTCACACTCACTGTCTCGTATTCAGGTTAGTACATTTCTAATTATATCAACTCAATAAAAACATCCTTATTACATTTATCCATACATTTTTAGCTTATACATATCTTAATTACATTCAATCTTCATGTGTTGTTGTTGTTGTTAATTGCGAAGTCGTGTCCGACCCATCGCGACCCCATGGACAACGTTCCTCCAGGTCTTCCTGTCCTCTACCATCTTTTGGAGTCCATTTAAATTCACACCTACTGCTTCAGTGACTCCATCCAGCCATCTCATTCTCTGTCGTCCCCTTCTTCTATTGCCCTCAATCTTTCCCAGCATTAGGCTCTTCTCCAGTGAGTCCTTCCTTCTCATTAGGTGGCCAAAGTATTTGAGTTTCAACTTCAGGATCTGGCCTTCTAAAGAGCAGTCGGGGTTGATCTCTTCTAGGACTGACCGGTTTGAACGCCTTGCAGTCCAAGGGACACGCAGGAGTCTTCTCCAGCACCATAGTTCAAAGGCCTCAATTCTTTGGCGCTCAGCCTTTCTTATGGTCCAACTTTCACAGCCATACATTGCAACTGGGAAAACCATGGCCTGGACGATACGCACTTTTGTTGGCAGGGTGATGTCTCTGCTTTTTAGTATGCTGTCTAGATTTGCCATAGCTTTCCTCCCCAGGAGCAAGCGTCTTTTAATTTCTTGGCTGCAGTCCCCATCTGAGGTGATCTTGGAGCCCAGAAAAATAAAATCTGTCACTACCTCCATTTCTTCCCCATCTATTTGCCAGGAATTGAGAGGGCCGGATGCCATGATTTTGGTTTTCTTAATGTTGAGTTTCAAGCCAACTTTTGCACTCTCCTTCTTCACCCGCATCAAGAGGCTCTTTAGTTTCCTCTTCACTTTCTGCCATTAGAGTGGTATCATCTGCATATCTTAGGTTGTTGATATTTCTCCCGGCAATTTTAATTCCAACTTTTGATTCATCTAGCCCTGCCTTTCTCATGATGTGCTCTGCATATAAGTTAAATAGGCAGGGCGACAGTATACAGCCTTGCCGGACTCCTTTTCCAATTTTGAACCAATCAGTGGTTCCGTGTTCGGTTCTCACTGTTGCTTCTTGACCCGCATATAGGTTTCTCACGAGACCAAATGAGATGGTCTGGTACTCCCATCTCTTAAGAACTTGCCACAATTTGTTGTGATCCACACAATAAAAGGCTTTTGCATAGTCAATGAAGCAGAAGTAGATGTTTTTCTGGAACTCCCTAGCTTTCTCCATGATCCAGCGTATGTTTGGCAATTTGATCTCTAGTTCCTCTGCCTCTTCGAAATCCTGCCTGTACTTCTGGTAGTTCTCGATCCACATACTGCTGGAGTCTAGCTTGTAGGATTTTAAGCATAACTTTACTAGCATGTGAAATGAGTGCAATGGTGCGATAGTTTGAACATTCTTTGGCATTGCCTTTCTTTGGAATTGGAATGTAAACTGACCTTTTCCAATCCTGTGGCCACTGTTGAGTTTTCCAAATTTGCTGGCAAATTGAGTGTAGCACTTTTACTGCATCGTCTTTTAAGATTTTGAATAGCTCAGCTGGAATACTGTCACCTCCACTAGCTTTGTTGTTGCTCAGATTTTCTAAGGCCCATTTCACTTCACATTCTAGGATGTCTGGTTCGAGGTCAATGACCATCTCATTGTGGTTATCTGGGATGTTAAGCTCATTCTTGTATAGTTCTTCTGTGTAGTTTTGCCATCTCTTCTTAATCTCTTCTGCCTCTGTTAGGTCCCTGCCATTTTGGTCCTTTATCATGCCCATCTTTGCATGCAACGTTCCCTTCATATCTCCAATTTTCTTGAAGAGATCTCTGGTCCTCCCTATTCTGTTATTTTCTTCTATTTCTTTGCACTGTTCATTTAAGAAGGCATTCTTATCTCTTCTAGCTACTCTCTGGAATTCTGCATTCAATTGGGTGTATCTTTCTCTTTCTCCTTTGCCTTTCGCTTCCTTTCTTTTCTCAGCTATTTGCAAAGCTTCCTCAGACAGCCATTTTGCTTTCTTGCATTTCTTTTTCTTTGGGATGGTTTTAGTTGCTACCTCTTGTACAATGTTGCGAATTTCCATCCATAGTGCTTCAATCTTCATAAAACAATCCATATCCTGTTATTAATTTTTACCTAGTTTTTAGTTTCTCATCAATATTCCAATTTAACCTTTGATTTTTATAATTTTCAGGCTTTAGGTTATCAAGATTTCCCCTGTCTCAATTCATAACAAAATATAATATCCAAAATACACATTTTATCTATTTGAATGTAATCTTGTTCTGTTTCCTAAGAGTTATCTATTTCCCACCATATTAAATCATCTACTTAATAATACAATGTCCCCTTTAATAAATCAAAACCGTTATGCATATTGCCTGGGTTAATCAATAAATCAAACATATTCATAATAATTAATTTTCTTTTCCCTTTTAGGTCTAATTTTTAAGTATTAAACAGATAAAATCCTTATTTTCAACTAATTTTCAGAGTAATGTTGACCCTGTAGAATTCTATTTATCTTCTTGTATTTATGGCAATGGGAAGCTTTGCCTTCTGCCTCTTGCTGTTCTTACCTTATCGGATGAATTTTGGGAAATAAGTAAATAAGGACTAGAAGGGAAAGTTTGGAGAATTTTGGAAGCCCCAGTTCAACTGCTCTGGAAGCACTTTGGGAGGGGAGGCAGTCTGAAAGTTTAAGTGGAAGCTATGGCTGGGAAGACCCCCCCATATCTCAGATCTTCCTCATGCTTGGCAATGACATTATCCCATAATAGAGATAAGCGTGGAGTCCTTGGTAGTCTCTGAATTTGATTGTTTTCTTGCAGACATTTCACTACCAAACTAGATATCATCAACAGTGCTGAAAGAGAGAGGAAATTGCTCTCTGTTTATACACCAGTGGCTTGCCCTGTCAGTGCTGGTGGTAGGGTTCTTGGTGGTTGCTTGATTAGGCTGCTTTTTTATTGCTTGATTATTGATCTAGTATTAAGATGAGAGAGAGAGACAGAGAGAGAGAGAGAGAGAGAGAGAGAGAGAGAGAGAGAGAGAGAGAGAGAGAGAGAGAGAGAGAGAGAGAGAGAGAGAGAGAGAGAGAGAAAGATGGAGAGGAAGAGAGAGAGAGAAAGAAAGGGGGAGAGAGAAAGAGAGAGAGAGACACACAGAGACAGAGATAAAGACGGAGAGGAAGAGGAAGAGAGGGGAGAGAGAGACGGAGAGGAAGAGAGAGAGAAAGAAAGAGGGAGAGAGAGAGAGAAAGAAAGGGGGAGAGAGAGAGAAAGACGGAGAGGAAGAGAGAGAGAAAGAAAGAGGGGGAGAGAGAAAGAAAGGGGGAGAGACAGACAGACAGACAGACCAATGGAAGAGAATATTTGTAGTTTAGGGTTGAAATGAGGGGTCCTGGGTGCTGTCTGAGCTTGGTTGTTTTCTTACAGACGTTTCACTACCAAACTAGGTAACATCATCACTGCTAAAAGGGAATGGGGGGTTGCTCTCTGTTTGGCTTGCCCACATTGACAGGGCAAGCCACTTCTATATAAACAGAGAGCAAATCCCATTCCTTTTTTGCATTTTTACCCAATTGGCTCATGAATCATCTGCAAGAAAACAGCCGAGCTCGGAGAACGTGAAGGACCCCACAGTTTTATTACTGTGCAGTTGCCCCCCCCCCCTCATTTCTCTGCTTTCAACCTCCTCCACCCCCAGGTCATTCTGAAAGGAGGCAAGGAACGCAGCACAGGGGCGACTGGAGTCAACTCCGATTCTTCCCGATCCCACGCCATTATCCAGATTCAAATGAAAGATCCTGCAAACAGAGTGTTTGGGAGGTGAGCATAGAAGAAGTGGGAAGAACAGGCTTTGCTTGAGCTTTCCGCGGTCCTCAAAGGTGTAAGCTGGCTGGGTGTCCTTAGCAATTCCTTCAGCACACGTAGGTAATTGGGACACCTGAACATCAGCTCAACTTAGCTAGTCATTTACTAGGTGTGAGTTTTCTAAATGAATTCAAGGAGATCACATAGTTGGTTTCTACATAATGGTAAACCATCTCCAGGATTGGGAGAAGATGTCCAGACATTTTGGCAGCAGGCCATTTTCCCATTTAATTTCTGATTCTTCTTTCCTGAGCCGGAAGCATTAACACGATCCTTTACTGCTTTCATTGGTTATTGTATCTTCCTTGAAATATTGAATCAAAGAGTAGTATACTTTTTTTAAGCTGATTTGAGATAAACCTCTGTTGAAAGAAAAGTCTTCATCGTGGTCCAGTCCAAGCCAGAGATAAACAACATGGCGACTGCCTTAGAAAGAATATTGCAGTTTATTGAAGAGCCAGACAGAAAAGATGGTTCTGGCAGGAAAGAGGAGAGAGAAAAGGGCTGAGCACATGTGGGGAGTGGGTTTTTATACCCTCTGGAGCCTTTTGTTTGGAGTTGCTTCCTGTTCCTGTGGCATGAACTTTGACTGAGTCTGAGTGTGCTTTTCTGGTATTCTGATGGTGATAGGTTAATCCTATTATGACCCAAAGGTCAAATCCTGCTTCCTTGGTGCTGGGGCTAATGACTCCTAGAGTTTGGATGGGGTATGTAGATTTTAGGTCTTTGTCTTTTTAATCTCCTAGCTCCCTGGATTTACATCTGCATCTCTATAGAGCTGGTTTCTGCTTGGGGGAGGGAGACTTGGAGCTATTAAGAAAAACTGGGCATGCTTTCCTGCCTCTTTAAGATCCTTGGAGAAAATATATTTTTCTGCCCTTTTAATATTTCCTTCTCTGGGAGGGGCTGACTTCCCACACTTCAATATCCTTGAGCCAAACACAGTTTCTTAATAAATTCTACCTGGCTGTGGGAGCTGCAACTTCACTGGGCAGGTTAACATCCTGAATGTTATCTTCCAGAATCTCATTTATTGATCTGGCTGGCAGCGAGAGGGCAGCTGATGCCAAAGACTCTGACCGACAAACAAAAATGGAAGGAGCAGAAATCAATCAGAGTCTTCTAGCAGTAAGTAAACACAGGCTGAGTTCATCTGAAGCCGGTACTTTATGGGTCAAGCGTCTGTGGAGATTCTCAGTCATCCAGGTCATGGTTGTCCCAAAGATGCTTTTTTTTCACGAGGCAACTTTCTTGTTCTTTCTTTGAAGACGTTTCATTTCTTTTCATCCCAGAAGCTTCTTCCGCTCTGAGTGGATGGTGGGGAATGGAAGGATTTATACTCCTTGCAGACAGCTGGTCATTTGCATTCCTTTAGAGCAGTGGTTTTCAACCTGTGGGTCGGGACCCCATTTGGGGTCGAACGACCATTTCATGGGGGTCGCCAAACAACGCAGTCCGCCATTTTTCCCCCCCTTTTCCTTAGCTGTGCTACTCCCTTTTATTCTATTGGCTTTTGAACGCCAATAGAATAGACTCTCTTGAATAGAGTCTAATTCTATTGGCTTTCAAAAGCCAATAGGAATTGTCCAGGCTGTCTCTGCCCTGCTGAGCCCGCCAAAAGTCCCATTCTGCAAACGGTACTGCACCAGTTGAGTAGTCCTCGACTTACGACCGGTTGGGGGTCGCGGCATTAAAAAGGTTGAGAACCACTGCTCTAATTCTTTGTGTGAGGTTGCTGGTGCCCACACAATGTCTTTTCCTGCAGACATTTCATTACCCAACTAGGTACTGCCGTCAGTGCTAGAAGGGAGTAGAGTTTGCTCTCTGTGTTTATACAAGTGGCATGTAATCAAGGAACCAGCAGGAACACTCCCATCAACAGTGACAGGGCGAGCCATGACCAAGTTCAGAGTCACCAAGAACCTCAGAGTCCTCCTCCTCCTCCTCCTCCTCCTCCTCCTCCATTTCAACACCTCACTTCCTTCTAGCACTGATGATGTCACCTAGTTGGATCATGAAATGTCTGCGAGAAAACCACCAAGCGCAGAGAGCACCAAGGACCCCACAATCCTCCTCCTCTACCTTCTCCTACCCCCCCTCCTCCTCCAGTCTGCAAACCCCACTCCCTTCTAGCACCGATGATGTCCCCTAGTTGGGTCCTGAAACGTTTGCCAGAAAACCGCCAAGCTCAGAGAGCACCAAGGGCCCCCACAGTTCAACCCTGAGCTACAGGGTTTCTCCTCCATCTTCTAACCCCTTGCCCTATGAAGACCTGGACAGAGCTCTTGCAGAAAGTTGGAGGAAGAGACACAAATTGCAATGGCCTCTCATGTCTTTGGGAACTTCAGCTGTTGGGTTCAGCAGGGTTTTGTGAGGAAACGGCCCCGTGTCAATGTTGATATGTAGAGTCTTGTGTGATAACTCCCTGTTTCTTCTCTTCTGTCTCTCTAGCTGAAAGAATGCATCCGTGCGCTCGATCAGGAGCATGCTCACACTCCCTTCAGACAAAGCAAACTGACCCAGGTACTACTGGAGACTGACTCAGCTCTCAGTTTTTCCCCAAATTCTACAAACATCTCTCTCTCTCTCTCTCTTTCTCTTCTTTCTCTCATTTTCTCTCAGTCATTCTTTGTCCCATTCTCATTCATTCTTTCTCTCATTCTCTTTTTCTTTCTCATTCTCTCATTTTCTCTCTCATTCTCATTCTTTTTTCTTTCTCTTTCATTTTTCTTTTTCTCTCTTTCTCTTTCTCATTCTCTTTCATTCTCTCTCTCTCTCTTCTTTCTCTCATTTTCTCTCAGTCATTCTTTGTCTCTCGTTCTCTCTCATTCTCTTTTTCTTTCTCATTCTCTCATTCATTCTTTTTTCTTTCTCTCTTTCATTTTTCTTTCTCTCTCTCTCTCTCTCTCATTCTCTTCTTTCTCTCATTTTCTCTCAGTCATTCTTTGTCCCATTCTCATTCATTCTTTCTCTCATTCTCTTTTTCTTTCTCATTCTCTCATTTTCTCTCTCATTCTCATTCTTTTTTCTTTCTCTTTCATTTTTCTTTTTCTCTCTCTTTCTCATTCTCTTTCTCTCATTCTCTCTCTCTCTTACTTTTCAAAAATTTAAAACAGAATAACCAAGAAATACAGCGAGTCCTCGACTTACAGCGTTAACTTATTGACTGTTCAGAGTTACAATGGCACTGGAAAAAAAATGACTTAGGACCATCTTTCACACTTATGACCATTGTAGCATCTCCATGGTCACATGATCGAAATTCAGACGCTTGGCAACTGACTCATAGTTGCAGTGTGTGTGTGTGTGTGTGTGTGTGTGTGTGTCACGTGATCCCCTTTTGTGACCTTCTGACAAGCAAAATCAACGGAGAAGGCAGATTTACTTAACAACCGTGTTCCTAAATTAACAACTGCAGTGATTCACTTGACAGTGGTGACAAGGAAGGCGGTAAAATGGGGCAAAACTGACTTAACCAGTGTTTCGCTTAGCAACAGAAATTTTGGGCTCAGTTGTGGTTGTAAGTCGAGGACTATCTGTAATTAATGTACCAAAGAGCTGGCAGTAATTCTACATCTCTTCTCTCCCCGCTCAAGGTCCTGAAGGACTCTTTTGTGGGCAACTCCAAGACGTGCATGATCGCCAATGTGTCACCCAGCCACATTGCCACAGAGCACACCTTAAATACCTTGCGCTATGCCGACAGGTAAGGGTCAGAACTGGCTTAAAACCAGAGAAGATGGTGGAACTATGTCACGAGTGTCTCGGGGGACACCCTGTGCATCTTGGGGGATATATCAGGCCTCCAGACCCTCTGGAAGTTGGCCTTGTTCTGATGTAACCTCTGAGAGATCTGAAAATCATGCAGTGTTTTGAAGGCTCCAGAGAGACCCTGCTCAGGGCCCTTTTATGTGACTTCCACAGGCTCTGGAGAGGGAAAGAAGGGTAGGAGGGAGGGAGGAGAGGGGAAGGGAAGGGAGGAAGGAAGGAAGAAGGAAGGGAGGGAGGGAGGACAGGAGAGGAGGAGGAAGGGAAGAAGGAAACAGAGGAGTAAAAGGAGTAAGGGAGGAAAAGATGGAGAGAAAGAGAAAGGGAAAGAGTGGAGAGGAGGAAGGGAGAAAAGAAAGAAGGAGGGAAGGAAGGAAGGGAGGGAGGACAGGAGAGGAGGAGGAAGGGAAGAAGGAAACAATAGAGAGGAATAAAAGGAGTGAGGGAGGAAAAGATGGAGAGAAAGAGAAAGAGTGGAGAGGAGGAAGGGAGAAAAGAAAGAAAGAGGGAAGGAAGGAAGGAAGGAAGGAAGGAAGGAGCCTGTTTTATCCGGGTGTGTAATACATCAGCGGAATCAAAGGCATTTTCTGAATTTTTGACACCCCATGACCAAAATATTCACCATCACTGGTCTAAAATGATCAAGATCTCAGCAGGAGATCTTACATATAAAGCAGAATCTCCAGCTTTCGCGGGTGACCACAAAGAGAAAAGTAGCCGAGATGCCAGGATGTTTATGGAGTCTGTTTCCTAACCTGGTTCAACTTCCAAGGGCTGGAACATCTCTGAAAAACCTTGGAAAACCTAGAGCCACACAAACCCTTTACCAACCGATATATTTGTGGGCTTTCCACCGTCAGCTGCTTCTTCTGGTTGAAGGGCTGGACGGGCCGTGATTGCACTGGATGGGCCTTGCATTTTATGCTGCTGTCTCACCTGGAGACAGCTCAGCTCTGGACATCTTTCCAACAACATGAGCCCCTCTGTGAGGGAAATGGGACAGTTAAGAAGTTCGATACGTAAATGAATAACGTAATTCTTGGCTTTTTCGTTGTCAGAGTAAAAGAACTGAAGAGAGGGATGAAGTCTTGCACCCCTACGGTCAACAGGCACCGGCCAACAGGACCCACCTCCCCGAAGCGCATCCAGAATTCTCCTTACGTCCAAGTGGGGGGAAAGAGCTCTCCCAAAAAAGCCAAGCTGGGGCTGCAGCACCCTCCCGTACCGACCCCCGGGTCCAAGACGAAGACCTCTTTGCTGTTTCAACCAGCTCATCTTCCTTTCTCTTCCACTCCGAAGGGGCAGGGGTGCAAAGAACCGTCGGGAACTCCGTGGCCCGGGTGCCCCAGCCCAGAAAAAGGGATTGCATCCAAGAAGCTAGCCGAGGATCCGACGATAACTTTGGAGAAAAGCCATCTCAGGAAGGACTTGGTGGGCAGGAGAGAAGGTGGGCAGCGGGTGAAGTGTCTGAAAGTCGAACCGGTGCAAAAGCAACTGGTTTCCAGGGCTGATTTTTCCCACCACAGCTCAGATCACCTGTTGGACCACGAGGAAGACCCCGGGAGACTCTTTGCAGATCAGTGCCTTGCAGCCTGGACGGGGGCTTCCTCGCATCAGAAGGACCGCGAGCAGCACCTGCGGCTTTACCACCAGCAGTTCCAACAGCCTCCTCTCCTGCGGCAGAAGTTAAACTACCAGCCCTTGGGGAAGTTTTTAGGTCAGTACACGTCTCAAGAGATCCAGGTGAGGCCAGAGGCCCCTGGCCCTGCCCAGGTGTCCCCTCAGGGCCGGGATGACACCATGCAGCTCGAAGAGCTGGACGACAGCGACTTCAGCGAGGACTCTTTCTCCCCTGGGCCCAGTCAGAAGAAGACGGAGACGGAAGCGAGGAGGCCAAGCCACCAGAATTCCTTTTTCCTCCACCCGGGGGTCCGAGGACAGGACGGACGAGAGGAGGAGAAGCTCTTTTGTGAATGGTACGAGTTGGAGATGGAAGGAAGAGCCTTTCCAAGCGAGGAAGAGTCGGGCAGCTACGAAGAAGGCCCCAGGAGTCTGGGTGACTGGAGCGCAGGAGAAATATCAGCGGTGGGTTTTTCCCTGCACAGGGGCATCCCGGAGAAACCGTATTGCTCAGAGGAAGACGGCCTTCCAGCTAATAAGAGAAAGGATAAAGATTTGCCTGTTGAGCAGAAGTCGCCGAGCTACTCGGATCCACCTCGCGGTTGCCCCAATGGACACATCTCCCCACCAAGGAAAACCACGCAAAGTCCACCTCTCCCTGCCGTCTTACTGGAACCCCCGTGTCCCGAAAAAACGGGTCGCCCCAAAAGAGCAGGCTTTTGTGGAGCTGTAGACTTTCCCATGGACCTCACGGACGACTCGGTGGCGCCTTTGACCGTATCCTTCCTCAACTCGGGATCAGCAGGTCGTCAAGGGAAGGAGACGGCTGAAGGAGAAGCCACTGGCCCCGGCAAGGGTTGGGATGAGGACGCCGGGCGCGCTGGCGAAGGCAGGTGGCCCCCTGCCTCCCACATCTACGAAATAAATCCCTGGAGGAGGAAAAGTCAGCAGGTTCTTTCTCCGTGGGCCAAATTCACGTGGCTTCCGCAGCCTTGTCCCTCTCCAGGTGACGCTTCCCTCTTGGAAGCCACCTCAGCTTTGGGTGACTGCGTTTGTGGCTACGCTAGCGAAGATCCCCTGGCTGAACTCCTTCCTCGGCCCACGGAGGGAAGCGCCCGGCTTGGTGGAAACCTTCAGATAAGCGAATATTCACTATCCATGACGTGGCAAAGATGGCTGTTTCGTGGAGCTATTCGGATCATCTGGGGTCGGGGGGAAAGGAGGTCCCGGTGGCCCCGTGCCCCCCAGCCGGCTGAGAAGGGAGGAACGTCTCGAGTCCCAATGCCTTATCCAGCTCTGACGAAGCAGGAAGTAAACAAAGTGCCCCATCGCCATCGGATTTGTCCCACGGGCCGGCAGAGCGGCGCCATTCGGAGGAAGCCTCCAGGAAGGAGGGAACGGGGTCTCCCCAGAGCACCCACGATCAGGAAGCCCCAGTGCGAGGATTGGGGCTTGGACTCTAAGGGGACCATTGCCGAGACGGCAAAGAACTCGCCAAAGGCTGGTGAACAACTGGATTTGCTGAAGGTTCCCCCAAGGAGAAGGACGTGCTGGGAAGGTGAGTGTTCCGGATCCACTGTAGGATAGGGTTGAGGAGGCAGGCAGCCCGTCCCATTGTGTTTCCGTAGCAAAGGATCTGGGATTCGTTCAACTTGGCGTCTGCCAAACGCCGTCCGGCAACTGAGGCCGGCCTGAGTTGCAGCCATCAATAGATCCCAAGGGATTTCGGAGTTTTGTCCTGGTTACTAATCAGGTGAGTGACAGGCTTGGACTGGTCAAAGAGTAGAAACCCCCAATGGCCCTAAAACAGGGGTCCCAACCGTGGCCACTTTAAGACTTGTGGACTTCAACTCCCAGAATTCCCCAGCCAGCAGGGCTGGCTGGGGAATTCTGGGAGTTGAAGTCCACAACTCTTAAAGTGGCCACGGTTGAGGACCCCTGCCCTAGAAAGTTCCTAGGTAGCTTGTGCTGCCCAAATCTGAGAGCTGACAGTGACTGTAATACTCAAAGTGGTCCTCAACCTACGACCACAATTGGGCCCATTTTTATTGCTAAAGTGAGACCTTTGTTAAGTGGGTTTTGCTCCGTTTGATGCCATTTTTTTGCCACCGTTGTTAAGCGGATCATTGCAGTTGTTCAGTTAGCGACCCGGTGGTTGAGGGAACCTGGCGTCCGCATTGACTTGGCTTGTCAGGAGGTCGCAAAGGGGGGGTCACGTGATCCCGGGACACTGCGATCGTCGTAATTGTGAGTCAGTTGCCGAGCGTCTGAATTTTAATCCTGTGACATGTGGACGCTGCCACGGTCGTTAAGTGTGGAAAAACAGACGTATGTCGCTTTTTCAGTGCCGTTGTTGTAACCTCAAACGGTCGCTAAATGAACTGCTGTACGGGTAGTCCTCGGTTTGTGATCGCACTCAGGACCAGGATTTCCATTGCTAAGCCAGGCGGTTAAGTGAGTCACTCCCAATTTTTACACCCTTTTTGCTGCCGCGGCTGTTAAGTGAATCTCTGCCGCCGTTAAGCGAATCGTGAGGCCGTTCAGTGAGCCCAGCTTGCACCCTTGAATTTGCTTGTCAGAAGCCAGCTGGGAAGTCAGCGAAGGGCATTCCCAGGATCCCGGGACACGGCACGCATCCTAAGCACGGTTGCCGGTTGCCGAGCTCCTTGACCCGGGGACTCTGCAACGGTCATAAAACCGTGCTGGTTTTGACAAGCGTCCGAATTCCGGTCATGTGATTCGTGGGAACTCTGTCGTGAGTCATAAGCGCAGGGACCCAGTCATAAGTCCCTTTTTTCCCCCGCCGTCGTAACTTCGAACGGTCGCTAAATGAAACGGTTGTAAGTCGAGGGTTTGCCGGTAAAGCCTTTTGGTAAGCGCGCTCCCTGTCCTCGCCTCCTGCAGGCAGCTGGTCCTTCGAACCCACCGGGAACAGCTGGACGAAATGGCCGCCCTGTCTTCTCGGGAGAAAAGCTTGATCGGCAAGATGTCAGACTTGGTAAGTCTTCTGCTTGGCTGGGCATCCAGACCCCTCCAGGCTGAGCTTTGCTCCCGGGGGGTCCCATCCCACCCTGGGGTTAATTAGGCAACCCAAAACACTCAAAGAGTCATTTGGACCTGTTTCCCACCAAAAACAAAACACCGGGAGCCGCAAAACCCTTTTGATATCTAAAATGAAGATAACACTGCATATATCCTTTTTTACCTTTATTATAGGTGTGTGTGTAATACACACACACACACACACACACACACACACTAAAAATAAAAGTAAAAATATGACTCTTGGGAATATCCATACTATTAAAACAATGATCACCAAGAGAATGCTTTAAGAGAATAAAATTACAGACACACAAAGGTAAAAAAAGGATATATGCAGTGTTATCTTCATTTTAGATGTCAAAAGGGTCTCTCTCTCTCTCTGTCTCTCTCCCTCCCTCATCTCCTATCTGCCCTTGGTCTGCCACTCTCTTCCCCCACTCTCTTTCTTTCTCTCTCTCTCTTTTCCTCTCGCTCTCTCTCTCTTTCTCCCCCCCCCCATCTGCTGCTCACCGGCAAGCTTCAAGCTGTTGTCCAACAAGCTCCAGGGGTAAGAACCTCGTCTCTTTATGACTCATGGACTTCAACTCCCAGAATTCCTGAGTCAGCCTAGCTGGGCTAGCTAGCTCTCCCCTGCCTTCCTGCTCCTGCTTCCTGCAGAGACGCAGCAAAGGGAGGAGCTCCGCCCAGTAAGCTTTTCAGCTCCTCGGAGAACACTGTGAGTGCACTCTCTTTTACACAACACACAGAGAGAGAGAGAGAGACAAGCAGGGAAGCGCAATTGCCTCTCTCTGTCTCTGTCTCTCTCTGTAAAGGCAGAGGAGGCTGGGAGCCACAGGGGAAGGCTCAAAGAGCCGCATGCGGCTCCGGAGCCGCAGGTTGCCGACCTGTGAATTAGACAGCCAAACTAGTGGGTTGATAAAGGGGAATTTCCTTCCCTGGAAGAGGAAGGCCATCAAAACTTTCCTGCTTCCCTTTTCCAACAGTCAGGAGGAGGCTCCAGAGAACAGCAATCTCATATCCCTCTCCCAGTGCAAGCCCCGGGTGTATTTGTATTTGTATTTAATTTTATTTATATGCCGCCCAATCCCAAAGGACTCAGGGCGGCGTACAGAGATTAAAACAATCATAAAACAATAAAATAATACAGTCATACCGCGAGTCCGATCATATCCCACCCCCCGGGGACATCAGCCCCAGGCCTGCCGGAACAGGAGAGTTTTAACGGCTTTCTTAAAGGCCGGCAGGGTGGGAGTAGTTCGAACCTCGGGGGGAAGTTGATGCCTACCAGGGTGCCTTTATATTTATTTTATATTTCATATTTTATTTTATCATTTTACTTAAGTTTATTATTTTATTTTAGTTTTCTTTATTATTTTACTTGACTTATTTCATTTTATTATTTTATTTCATTATATATTATATTATATTATATTTATTATATTATATTATATTATATTATATTAACATTACATTAACATTACATTACATTACATTACATTATTACTTGCCACCCATCTCATCTCATAGATCAGTGATGGCGAACCTTTTAGAGACCAAGTGCCCAAACTGCAACCCAAAACTCACTTATTTATCACAAAGTGCCAGGACCACATCAGGATTGTGGTTCCCTTTGGGGGGGGCATGGGGGCAGGGCCCATTGGGTGGGCATGGCTGCGGTTGTCACAGCAAACTGGGTGGGCGTGGCTGTGGGTGGTCATGTGGGCAACTTCGATGTTGCTCATGGGGGGGGAAAGCCTGTGGTGCTGGGCAAGGTTGGGGGAGATCCAGGGGATCTCTGGCAGGTGGGGCGGTGGGCAGGAGGCCCAGCATAGATGGGGGGAGGCACACAATCCTAGCTGGGACTGGGGGGGGCATGGCGCTGATGGGGATCCAGCTTTCCCTGCTCAGGGTGGCCTTTGGCTTGCTGGGTGTGGGCATGCTCTACCACCTCTACTCAAGCTTGCTAGCTGGCCGCTTTGCCTCCTTTGTGCCTGGTGGGGCTGCCACCCTAATGGACCTATGCAAGCTGCCGGCAGTGGTGGCACGCGTGCCCACAGAGAGGGTTCTGAGTGCCACCTCTGGCACGCGTGCCATAGGTTCGCCACCCGTCATAGACCAGGGTAGGCAACCTTGGCTCTTTTATAACTCATGGACTCCCAGAATTTCTGAGCCAGCATTGTAAGTCATTCTTTTCGGTGCTGTTGTAATTTTGAACGGTCCACCAAATGAACTATTGTAAGTCGAGGACTCTCTGTACATAGCTGAACAACTTCTGTTTTTCGTTCAAACATTTCAGGCCACACGGTTTTTAACCCCGCTGTCTTTATTTCTCGCGATTCTTTTTTTCTGCCAGGAAATTGAGGACTGTCTGATGAAACTCGACGAAATACTGAGGCTGAAAGCCGAATGCATCCACCGGGCACGAAGCCGGCTGCAGCTCTGTTTTGCTGCTGCTTCAAGGGGCGCCTCGCTTCTACCGGTTTCCTCCACGTAGTAGTAGTGGAGCTCGTGAGCCAGACTGCCTACGGACGGATGGCACCTCAAAATACCAAAGAGATCCGATTGTCATGCGGCTCAGCATGTTTTAGGAAGAAGCTGAAGTTACCTGTCAGTTACACTTGGCTGATGCCCAAGAAGTTTCCTCTCCCTCCAAGCTGCTTCAAGACTGGATCTTCCAGGGTCTTGTTGAAAGAAAGGGAGGGGATATTACCTGCTCCCCAAATCATCCAGCTTTCCTAACTGGCCTCACTGTGTGGTCGGGGGAGTGTCTGAGCTGCGATCAAAAACGCCAGTGTTCGACAACAGGGAAACCCAAAGGCAGCTGCATGAATTGGTCTCTCTCCATTTCCCTGCTTAACAAAAATTCTACATGAATGCTTCAGCTCCCCTACTACCCTGAGATGCCCACCATCAAAACTAAAAGCTTCACATTCATTTGGAATTGGAAGGGCCAAAGATGGCGAAGATTGAAAGCCTGCAGGCGAGATAAAGGCAGCCTTTCCACTTGAAATCTTCACGTTGGTTCTGTTAGGTATTTGCGCTGGTGCGGATGTTCGCTGGACAAATCTCCGATTCTTACCGACAAGAGTTCCGCAGTTGTTACAAACAGCAACGGGCCGAGGGGCTTCTGCAGTTTCAAAGATCAGCAATAAAGAATATTTAAAGAAATGGTCACCTTGGGGCCGAGGATATGGATCCGGTTATCTTCCAACCTGGTGGGCCTTGAGCCTCAAATTGTCAGGAGATACACCAGAGATTGTCTGATTCTTTCCTTCTCGGGCTCCTAAGTGTTAAGGTTTAGGTGACAGAAGTAGAACAGGGCTGGTGGTCACGACGAGACAGCGATTCAGCCAGAGTTGGGAGCCAGTCACCGAGACCACCGAGAATACTATCTGGATAGGTAATAATTTGACTTCAGTTTGCCTCAACATGTAGCCCATCCTGGCTACTATTCCGACTAATTCCAATAATTGGGTGTCATTTGGTCATGGAGTTTGCAGACTATTCCCACCAAGCAGGATCTGAAACACGTCTAGTTCACCTCAAGCCTTACACGTATGTTTTAGGGCCTGGAAGGCAATGCTCACGCACACTCTTCCAATGGTAAAGAACCAGGACAATAGAAAGCGGTTGCTAAAAAGAGGAAACAGTGCTATTTTAGCAAGACTGCTAGAAATGCATACAATAGATATAAACCCAGCAGATGGACTGAGAGCAACACACCTACATTTTAAGGAGAAAAAAAAACCTGTAAAGAGAGCTTGGTTATATTGCATAAGCACTTTGCCTTACCGTACCAAAAAAAGAGTGTCTTTAAGTACCTTTAATTAAAGTGAAGGTGATTCAAATAGTTAACCATGTCGATTGCGGCAATGCTATGTGAATTAAGTTAGAATGAGTTTGAAGATGCATGTCATTTTGTAGTGACATTTAGCTTCAAAATTTGCCATAGTTGTGGACGATGTCCTTTAAATGAAGTACCCAGATCGAATGTAGTTCAATGATTTGATTGCAAGAATAATTCACAAGTGGGAAGAAGGGCTCGGGGGCGTAAGCAACTATGCCAATGTGGGGTGGCGCCAGAAATTCCCTCCAGCTTCTGACTTTCACATCAGGGAACTTTGAGTGAAAGCACAGCTGATCCTTTAGAAGAGGAATGTTGACATTTTGGGGACTGGTCACAATAGGTGGGGCTCTCGATAATTAAACATGACTTACCCATTAAATAAAAATTATTCGTGATTACTTGCCATAGATTTGGTAGTTTTTCTTTTGATGATTTTTTTTACACACAGTTCTAAGAGGATGAACGGGGGCCTTTTATGCAATCACATTTTTCTCATCTTTATAAGCTGTTTCAAGAATCTACTGGTTTATAGACAGTATTTCACTCTCTGAAGCTTTATGATGGGTGTGAACGTTCCCTGCTCCAAATTCTGACACGGTCCCAGCCCCAAGTAGACTGGTGTAGATTCTGCATTATCTTTTTTTCCCCTTCCTTCCCCCCCCCAAAAGCACTTTCTACATGTTTTGTTTGTCACTGTATTTTTTTTATCTTTGTGGAGTTTTTTAATGTTTGTTTTTGGTCAGTACAGATACTCACCTTACAACCACAACTGAGCCCCAAATTTATGTTGCCAAGTGAGAAATTTGCTGGCCCAGTGCTGTAATCGTAAACAACCTAACTGAAAGTCACCTTAATGAAGTGAGTTTTGCACCATTTTACTTTACTTTACTTTACTTTACTCATTTATTAGGTGTATTGCTGCAGATGATAAATTAGAAACACTGTTATTAAGTGAATCTGGTTTCGCCAACTGACTTTGCTGGACAGAAGGTTGACAAAGGGAATCACATGACTCTGGGACACTGCGACCCTCATAAGTATGAACTAGTTGTCAAGCATCCAAATGTAAATCTCATGATTATGGGGCTATTGCAATGCTCGTAAGTGCGAAAAATGGTTATGTCCCTTTTTTCAATGCCGTTTTAACTTCAAACCTGTACTTTCAAAACAATTAAAAAAAAAAAAGTGGTCTACTTTGTGCCCAGGCCGTCTAAAATGGATGGCTTTCTATTAGTTATTTACAATTACAAATTTATATTTTTTTAACAAAGTAACTAGGCCAGCAAATTCTCATAGGCTCTATAGCAGCTTGCAGATCCCCCTCCAAAGGGCTAAAAAAAAAAAAAAAACCCAGCAAGTAAACCCTAACCAGGTTTCATGGGGTGTTTATCCCAGAAAACTGATTCATGATTACTCAGTAAAAAAAATGCCCTTGTGATGCAGGAAATGATGGGTAGAGTACAGGAAATGACTCGGTGAGAAAAATGTTCTTCTTCTTCCCAGGTTCAAGTTCCATTAGTGCTGGGTTAAGGACCTAAAAAACCACGAGCTTGACAGGCTTAACTCTAAAGAAACATCTTGGGATTTACAGAATTTTATTATCTTATAATTAACCGTCAGTCCTCGACTTACGATCTGGTTTTGAAGTTCAGACACTACATGATCACACATTGGATGCTTGGCAAGTTGACTTAGCCTTTCATCCCTCCGAGGTCGATAAAATGACCCACATTGTTGAGGACAACAGGCTGACTCTATAGAGGGCTGTAAAAGGCCCTATTGCGATATAGATGGATGGATGGATGGATGGATGGATGGATGGATGGATGGATGTAGAGCCCTGGTGGCACAATAGTTAGAATGCAATATTGCAGGCTATAATTCTGCCAGCAGTTTGATCCTACCTGGCTCAAGGTTGACTCAGCCTTCCATCCTTTCCAGGTCAGTAAAATGAGGACCCTGATGGTTGGGGACAACAGGGTTGTCAGTTTAGCTGACTCTGAACTGCTCAGAGAGGGCTGTAAAGCACTGTGAAGCAGTATATAAGTCCCAGTGCTGATGAGATAGATAGATAGATAGACAGACAGACAGACAGACCAGACAGATCAGACCAGAAAGACAGACTGCCCTGGTGGCACAGAGGCCAGAATGCCATATTGCAGGCTAATTCTGCCAATCGCCAGCAGTTTGATCCTGCCTGGCTCAAGGTTGACTCAGCCTTCCCTCCTTCCCAGGTCAGTAAAATGAGGACCCAGATTGTTGGGGACAACAGGCTGACTCTAAACTGCTCAGAGAGGGCTGTAAAGCACTGTGAAGCAGTATGTAAGTCCCAGTGCTGATGAGATAGATAGATAGATAGATAGATAGATAGATAGATAGATAGATAGATAGATAGATAGATAGATAGATAGACAGACAGACAGACAGACAGATCAGGCAGACAGATCAGACAGATTAGACCAGAAAGACAGACTGCCCTGGTGGCACAGAGGCCAGAATGCCATATTGCAGGCTAATTCTGCCAATCGCCAGCAGTTCGATCCTGACTGGCTCAAGGTTGACTCAGCCTTCCTTCCTTCCCAGGTCAGTAAAACGAGGACCCAGATTATTGGGAGGGCCAGATGCTAACATTGTAATCCGTTCACAGAGTGTTGTGAAGCACTGTGGAGAGGTAGATTAAATCTTAAGTGCTATGGCTATTGGCAACCGCACGGCATTTACAGGCATGGGCAGCCTCCCACAATCATGCAACCGCAATTTAGGAGTTTCTGGCTGAAACCAAAGTTTACTTTCAGTATCCGATTAAAAAATGCCCCTTGTGGACAGTGGATTTGCTTAACAACGGCAGTGGCTCACTTAAGAACCACTGCAAGAAAGCTTGTAAAAAGCAGACCTGTCAAGGGTGACCCTGCTTCACATCCCAACTTTCAAGGTTCCCCTTACAGTCATTAAGTCGAGGGACACCTGTAGATATGGAGGGCAACTCTCTTTAAATCTCAGATAACGAAACTCCAGAGGGCAAAGTCTAGCAGTTCTTTCAAAGAGACAGACAGCTGTCATGAGATGGACTGTTGAACAATATTGGCAATCCCTTATTTTAGGACAGTGTTTCTCAACCTTGACCATTTTAAGGCATGTGGACTTCAACTCCCATTGTTGGCTGTGGAATTCTGGGAGTTGAAGTCCACATGCCTTAAAATGATCAAGGTTGAGAAACACTGTTTTAGGATGAAGGAAAATGACTCGGTGATTTGGGCACTTTATTTAGCAAACAATGCTAAATATTCACAGCATGCTAATGGGGAAATCATTAAACCTGGATTTTCACAAAGGAAAAGTGAGAGTAATCTCTCCTAAAGCCTGAGGACACTACGAGCCACATTTTAAGATTTTTATTAGTTATCTTTCTGCAGAGCCAAAATACTTAGCAAATTACTTCCGAGGTTCAAGACTGCTTTTATATATATATATATATATTTATGAATTTAAATCTTTAAACATGTACAATGCAATACTTTTTTGCTATCAAAACCCAAAGTCTCGTTCCTAGACTAGATTAATAATTATAACTGCGAGAGAGAAAAAAAACTGAACCAACGCAGTAAATATTATATAAAGAAAGTGCTTGAGAGACAGACCCCCCTCAATTTCACACGGTTATGATAAAAACTGACAGTCACTTCATTTCTCCAGAAGGACGTGGCTTAAACAGGATCTCAACCAGCTCAGGCAGGACAGATCCAAAAACTCCTGGGTCAGATAGACAGAAAAGCTGAGGGGCAAAAGATTTCACAGCTTATTATCTGAGTTTTTTTGGGGGGGGGGCAGAACTGGCAGACACTCATGAGCAGCCAGGGCCGCCGCGCCTGAGAAATCCGTACCGTTTCTCTCTGGGGCGTGTAAGCAGCCGTTAGTGAACCAGTGTTGCACTAAGTTACTAAGTTCCTCCTTTTGGCCCTCCCCACCTTGAGTAAAAACTGACTCTTCCATTGCACTTCTATCGAACAGATTAAAAAGAGTCAAATGTTGCGGTACGAGCAGGCACACAAATGACAGCAGTTGTAAGGAACTCAAGCGCAGTTCGTTGTCAAGAGTCGGGTTGATGCTTCTCTGAGTCCGGTACAAAGGGACTGGGAAGAGTGTGTGTGTGTGTGTGTGTGTGTGTGTGTGTGTGTGTGTGTGTGTGTCAGGGACAGAATGGGGGTGGGTGGGTATCGGGAGGATAAAAACTAGCCTGACACCATCTGTACAACTCAGTCCAGAGTCTCTGGCCTATCCAAAGAAAGAAACGTGGGGAAGGGCACTTAAAACTTTAATCGAAGAAAGCAGTTTGGACTCTCTTTTGGGTGGGCGGGCACAGCTGACCAGAGTGAGGGCATGGCAAGGGACCAGCTCTTTCGGCTGCGACAGTATCTCGAACCCAGGATCCTCGTGGCATAATCCTTCCCGCAGCACCAGACAGACCCAGCTGGCGATGGCAGGGTCCGGTGGCCAGAAGCAGCGAGGGGGCTGCCCTGCTCGCGTTTTCAGCTCGCTCCCGCTCGGGTCATTAAATCTTCCAGGGCGTTGTCTTGGTCGTTGTTGTGTAATAGCAAAGCTTCTTTAATGTCTTTCAGTTTGAATCCCATTTCTTGAAATTTGCTCATGAGCTGGAGAATCTCGGTGGCCTGAGAAAGGAAAAAAAGGGAAACAGGATAGTTTACGGGAATCTTGGGTCACTGAACTTTTGGCTTTGGGAGGCCCAAGGTGGTGAAAAAGATGACCTGGAGGGACTTCACATCAGGAGTGTCCAAGCTTGGGAACTTTAAGACTTACGGACTTCAGCGCCCAGAATTCCCCAGCCAGCCATTCTGGGAGTTGAAGTCCACAATAGGACTAGCAATAGCAGTTAGACATAAATACTGCTTCACAGCGCTTTACAACCCTCTGTAAGCGGTTTACAGAGTCAGCCTCTTGCCCCCAACAATCTGGTCCTCATTTTACCGACCTCGGAAGGATAGAAGGCTGAGTCGACCTTGAGCTGGTCAGGATCGAAGTCCTGGCAGTGGGCAGAATCAGCATGCAATGCTGCATTCTAACCACTGGGAGGGAAGGAAGGGAGGGAGGGAGGGAGGGAGGAGGAGGGAAGGAAGAGGAAAAACAATAGCAATAGCTCTTAGACTTATATACCACTTCACCGTGCTTTACAGCCCCTCTCTAAGCAGTTTACAGAGTCAGCATATTGACCCCAACAATCTGGGTCCTCATTTTACCGACCTCGGAAGGATGGAAGGCTGAGTCAACCTTGAGCTGGTCAGGATTGAACTGCCAAACTGCTGGCAGCCAGGAGGCAGCAGAAGTAGCCTGCAGTACTGCATTCTGACCACTGCGCCACCAAGTCTTAAAGTTCCCAAGTTTGGAGACTTGCTGGCTAGGGTATTCTGGGAGTTGAAGTCCACAAGTCTTAAATGTTAGCATATAAAAGTAAAAAAGTTGAGGTTGCAATGTTATTGTTTTATTGCGCCAAAAAGAGCCAGAAATCAATGCTTTGCTTTCTTTCCCATCTTTCCCCCTTCCCTTTTTTCTTCCCCTATTCTTCCACTGTTTTCATGTTTTCCTCCTTCTCCTCCTCCTCCTCCTCCTCCTCCTCCTCCTCCTCCTCCTCCAAAACAGCCCTCTTCCCCCGGGGGGCCCTAGGGCAACTATCCACGGCAGCGGAAAGACTTGCCCCCCCCCCAAAGGCAGAGAGTGCTAAGATTCACCGGATTAAATCAAGCTGACTTTGGGCATAGGACTGGTCAACATTTGAACAATGAAAACGGATGCTCGACTAGAAGAACTACTAATTGAATTCAACAATACGCATTGGGATATCATTGGATTATATGAAACAACGAAAAAATAAAAATTTGTATTTTACATCCCGATTCAGGCAGATTCAGCCCTCCATCCTTCTGAGGTCGGTAAAATGAGGACCCAGATTGTTGGGGGCCAGAGGCTGACTCTGTAAGTCGCTTAGAGAGGGCTGTGAAGCACTGTGAAACGGTGTTGTGATTCCGGCTAATGAAACATTCCAAAGAACTTCCAGGCATTTATTTTCCTAAAAGTCTTTTATTGTAACAAAATGTTGGCACAGGCACAACGGAGGGATGCTAGGATCTAAGTTCTCTTCCTCTGAGCAGTTAAATTATCAGCATGTTCCCTCCCTAAATTAGCCGTCTTATCTCACACTATCCAATTAGTGTGAAGGTCAAAGGTTTTCTTCCTCTTTCTTTCCCGGGCTTTACCCCCAACCCCCCTTCTGCTCTGTATTAACCCCATAATTACCAGACAATTCTGCATATTGTCAAAAGCAAGAATAGACAATATTTGCAGCATTGACAAACGGTACATAAGTCTAAGTGCTATTACTATTGCTGATAAACTTAGTAAGAAAGGAAAACACACACAAAAGAACAAGCCACAAATCCAGCAGTGGCCACAGTGAAAGCTGCACCTTTGGTGTCGAGCAGGTGATCCTAAACTGATCCAGGAGGAGAGATTTGAGAATCTGATCAAAGCAAATGCTCACCTTCTCTTCTGAGCACTGATACATTTCCAGAGCAGCTTCTACCAGGAGCGGATCAAAGCCCTTCTCGCAGAGTTGCCCCCGGACAACCAGGTATTCCAGAATCTACAGGGAGAATCCAGAGAGAAATGAGCCGGGACATTTGTTCTGCGAGTCTAATGTCATCTTTTCTAGAGTTCAACTGCCTGAACTGACCACGATCTTCTCACCTGATTCTACCAATAGCTGTGAACTATTTCGGAAAAAGGCTACGATTTTGCTTGTACCATTCACACATTTCATTTTCAATGCTATTCTGATTCCCACTTATCTACAGGTAGTCCTTGACTTGCAACAGTGCGTTTAGTGACTGTTCAAAGTCACTAAAATGTGAGTTATAACCGTTTTTCAGTGATGACCTTTGCAGCATCCCTGGGGTCACGTGATTAGAATTCAGATGCTTGGCAACTGGTTCATATCTTTGATGACCGTTGTTGTATCCCGGGGTCATGTGACCCCCTTTTGCGACCTTTTCACAAGGAAACTCAATGAGGGAAGCCAGAGTCACTTAACAACTGGGTTGCTAACTTAGCTGCAGTGGTTCAGTTAACAACTTTGGCAAGAAAGGTTGTAAAATGGAGTTAAACTCACTTAACAAATGACTTGCTTAACAACACAAATGTTGGGCTCAATTCTGGTCATAAGTTGAGGACTACCTGTAGAATATGAACATGGGGCAGTATCCATCTTTCGATCGAAACAATCATCAGGCGTGGCCAGTTCCAAAAATATTTAGCAGAATAAGAGAATGACAAAGTTGGAAGGGACCTTAGAGGTCTTCTAGTCCAACCCCCTGCTCAAGCAGACAACCCTATACCGTTTCAGACAAATGGTTGTCCAATCTCTTCTTGAAAACCTCCACTGTTGGGAGCACCCACAATTTCTGGAGGCAGGTTGTTCCACTGGTTAATTGTTCTCACTGTCAGGAAGTTCCTCCTTAATTCCAGGTTGCTTCTCTCCTTGGTTAGTTTCCATCCTTTGCTTCTTGTCCTTTTTTTTTTGTTTCGTGGGTAACAAAATGGGGCCAAGCCAGTTTGGTTTTAATGGTCAAGATAATGAACTAGAAACCCAGAGACAGTGAATTCGTCCTGCCTTAGCCATGAAAGCTGGCTGGAGAATTTTGGGTCAGTCACCAAGGGACAGCGTGTTCTAGTCCTGCCTTAACCACGAAAACTGGTTGTGTGACTTTGGGCCAAACAACGAGAGATGGTGAGTTCTAGTCCCACCTTAGGCATGAAAGCTGGCTGGGTGACTTTGGGCCAGTCACCAGGAGACAAGGAGTTCTAGTCTTGCCATAGACACGAAAGCCAGCTGGATGACACCTCTCTCGGCTCAGATCATCTCTCAAGGTGGTTATGGTAAGGGAAAATAGGAGATATTAGCTATGTTCACCGCCTTGAATTATTTTATAAAAATAGTAAGGGTGGGATTTAAATTAGACCAGTAGGTAAGTAAGTGAGATTCTCCCAGGTGTCCACTCTCTCCATCAAAGCACCGTAAATTCTCGACCCACTGTCAGCCTTTTCTATGCTGTAACACGAGACACAATCCTGCAAATACCAGGGGGGGGGGTTTGATGCCAAAATGGCAAGGAACAAACTGGGGTGTCACCTCTGAGCACTCAAACCACAGCCAATATTGACTTGGATGTCCCTTGCTCCCTTTCCCAGATGTATGGACGAGATCTTCCTCTGTCTTACCTGGTCTATGCTCTGCCCCTTCCTCTTCATCGCTCTTAAGACATCTTCGTAAGAGTAGCCCATGCCCACGACGATTTCAAGATACTCTCGTTCGCTGGAGGACAGGGCCTGCAGCACCTCCCCATAGGCAAAGTTGCCGGGCCCTTTTGCACAGCTGCTGGTGGTCTTGGGCACTTGGGAGGCCGGGAAAGTTTGGTGAGTTACCTAACAAAAGGGAAAGAATGGGAATTTCTTGAGGAGAAAGGCAGAACACTGGCACCGCTCCTAACTCAAAGTGGAAGCCTTCATCCAGGCACTTTTATCTATCTTATCTTATCATCTTATCTACATACCTATTTATCTCATCTACGTGTCTACTACCTACCTATATCTTCTATTTATCTCTTCTGCCTCCATCTATCTATCCAAACTATCTCTTCAATATCCATCCATCCTATCTGTCTATCTATCATCTAACTATCTACTTATATTTTATCTTTTTTGTCATCTCTTATCTATCTACCTCTCTCTTCTAACTATAGCTACCTCTTCAGCTCTTCTAGTTGCATCTATCTATTCATCCACCCATCTATGTAGGAGAAGATCAGGCCAAGCCCGAGGAAGAGGTCAAACACGTCATCAGTCTCGCGTCCCTTCGCGCCCACAAGAGATCTAAGTCCAGCCCACCTTGAATTCTACTATCTCTACCTACCTACATCTGAATTTATCACATTTACCTGTCTACCTACCTATCTCTTTTATTTTCATCTGTTCTATCTCCATCCATCTATCCAAACTATCTCTTCAATATCCATCCATTCATCCTGTCTGTCTATCTATCATCTAACTATCTACTTATATTTTATCTTTTTTGTCATCTCTTATCTATCTACCTCTTTCTTCTAACTATAGCTACCTCTTCTGTCTCTTCAGCTCTTCTAGTTGCATCTATCTATTCATCCACCCATCTATGTAGGAGGAGATCAGGCCATGACTGAGGAAGAGGTCAAACACGTCATCAGTCTCGTGTCCCTTCGCGCCCACAAGAGATCTAAGTCCAGCCCACCTTGAATTCTACTGACTATCTCTAAATACCTACATCTCAATTTATCTCATTTACCTGTCTACTCTCTACCTACCTATCTCTTCTATTTTTATCTGTTCTATCTCCATCTATCTATCCAAACTATCTCTTCAATATCCATCCATCCATCCATCATATTTGTCAATCTATCATCTAACTATCTACTTATATTTTATCTTTTTTGTCATCTCTTATCTATCTACCTCTCTCTTCTAACTATAGCTATCTCTTCTGTCTCTTCAGCTCTTCTAGTTGCATCTATCTATTCATCCACCCATCTATGTAGGAGGAGATCAGGCCAAACCTGAGGAAGAGGTCAAACACGCCATCAGTCTCGCGTCCCTTCGTGCCCACAAGAGATCTAAGTCCAGCCCACCTTGAATTCTGCTGACTCTTATCTGACACCAATTCGCATTGACCATTACTAGATCAGATTCTTGCAGACGAAGTTTGAAATAGTGCTTCTGAACTATACACTGCCCCCCCCCCGGTCTCTTGCGCCGGATGATCCATCTACTTATCTATTTATTGATCTATTACATTTTGGAACTGCTCATTTCTCTCACATGGAATGTAGTCCAAAAGAAGATAGAAGAACTTGGCTTGAGGTCCAGCCAGCTTGCCCACGTGGGGGGGGGGGAGAAAATGGCCATGAGCTCAAACTTGAAAAAGTAACAACCAGAAAACTGTTTACAGGCCTGAGGCTGAGCTTCGCAGAAAACCATTTGAAAGCGCTTGAGAGTTGGGCTTTGAAAAAAATAAAACTTCTACAAATGTAGAATGCACGCACACACACACACACAGTAATTTGGAAGCTGCTCTTCCCTCTGGGCCGTGAGCCCAGAAAGGTTGGAGAACTCTCGACTAGAAGACCTCCAAGATCCCTTCCAATTCTATTATTAATATCATCCTCTTGCCCCCAACAATCTGGGTCATTTTACCGACTTCGGATGGATGGAAGGCTGAGTCAACCTTGAGCCAGTCAGGATCGAACTGCTGGCATTCGGCAGAATTAGCCTGCAGTACCACATTCTAACCTGTACACCACCCCGGGCTCCTCACAGTCCCGAGCTTGCCCAAGTCTTCATATCAAAGCGCACTAGGCTAATAAGGCCAGAGACCTATGACACCAGAAAGCCAGTTTGGTGTAGTGGTTAAAGTTTGGCTTACAAACAAGAAGACTAAGTTCTAGTTCCATCTTAGGCATGAAAACCAGCAGGGTCATTCGCCTGGAGATGGTGAGTTCTAGTCCCGCCTTAGGCATGAAAGCTGTCTGGGCAACATTGGGTCAACCCTCTCTCTTGGCCCAATTCACCTCACAGGGATATTGTTTGGGGGGGGGGGTAATAAGACGACGAAGCTGTGTTGGATGTGTTCACTGCCTTGAGGTACCTATAAAGCAGTGTTTCTCAACCTTCACAATTTTACGGCATGTGGACTTCAACTCCCAGAATTCCACAGCCAGCAATGCTGGCTGTGGAATTCTGGGAGTTGAAGTCCACATGCCTTAAAATTGTCAAGGTTGAGAAACACTGCTATAAAGCTATCAAAGCGGGATAAAAATCTAATAAACACATGAAGCAAACACAAAGCGCCTTGTGTCTGGAATACAAGGGTTTTCCTGAAGCCAGAACTGCTGGCAGGAAGGTCCCCGGGACAGGCTGGGTTGACTTCACGCTATAAATCCCTTTCATGAACAAGGAAGAGAAAAGGAGAAAGCAGGAAGCTGACCGAGATTTTTCCAAAAAGCCTGGAGAACCGCCAGTGAAAAAGCCAACAAAAACAAGCCTCCACAAGGTAAAATCGCTAGACCAAATCCGGGGGACAAAATCCGACTTTTAAAGAAGCAGCGTCAACAACACCCACAGGAGCCGTAGGATTAAGACTTAATCCACGTCGGCAGAGCAAAGAGGATCTCTATAGGAAAATCCACTCTCCCTTCACTGCAGGGATTGGGACAACTCAACAATTACTACTTCCCCTGACCATATCTGGGCATAAATTTACACCAATGTTTCTCAGTCTTGACCACTTGAAACTCTGGACTTCAATTCCCAGAATTCCCCAGCCAGTCCACACAACTTCAGGTTGCCAGGATTGAAATGTGGGAAGTCAGCTCCCCAGAGAAGGAAATATTAAAAAGGCAGAAAAAATATATTTCCTCAAAAGGATTTTAAAAGCAGAAACCAACCCTGCCCCCAAGTCTCTGTGCCAAGCAGAAGCCAGCTCTGTACAAATGCAGATGTAAACCATCAGAAAGGCCCCAGCTAGGAGATCAAGAAGACAAAGACCTAAAAATCTGCATACTCCATCCAAACTCTAGGTCGATTAACCCACCACCACCAAGAATACCAGAAAGGCCCACCGAAACTCAGGTCAGAATACGTGACCCAGGAAATACAAAGCCTAAAACAGGAACAGGAAACTATTCCAAACAAAAGGCTTCAGTGGGTATAAAAACCTACTTCCCACATGTGCTCAGTCCCTTCTTTTCTCTCCTGTTTCCTGCCAGAACCATCTTTTGGTCTGGCTCTTCAATAAACTGCCACCTTCTTCCCAAAGCAGTCGCCATCTTGTTTATTTATCCCCGGCTTGGATGAACCGGGATGAAGACTTCTCTTTCAACAGAAAAATACTAAAACTTGTGAAAGGGGGGGGGAATACAGCCCCCCTCTTCTCATCAAAGCTTGCGCTCTACCCCCCAAAGTGCAGTGCTCACCGCTGTGCTTGTAGTGAGGACCGGAATGTCTTCTGTACATGCTACGGAGGTGGGCTGGGAAGGACCTCTGGAACCGGAGGATAATGTTCGAGGGTCCAGGCCAGGGTCCGCACCGAAGGTAGAAACCCCGATCACGTGATGTCCATTCAGTTCATTGGCTTTGTCCGGTAAAGAGCCGAGGAGAGTGCCGTTGTGTGTACGGTAGGCGTTTGCCAGCCTTCCCGTCTGCAGGTCACTCTCATCCAGATCCAGCTTTGGAAAGGAGAGGGATTTGATGTTGCTCACCGACGTCACGGGCGAGAGGGACCCTTTGGACGACAGAGACATCTTCTCGTGCCCGCCCAGCTGAGGCAAGGCCACGAGGCCGTTGGGTTTGTGCAGGGGCTTGAGGTCCAAAGTCACCCTTTCCAGAGAGGCCAAGACCTCCTGGTCTTGCAAAACCGACTGAGATGCCCCTTTGGGCAAGCTGTGGTCGAGCAGCTGGGCGACGAGGGGCCCCGTGGCGTCGACGTGGATCTGAAGGATGTTCTTCAGCTCTTCCCTATCATCTAAGGTCTTCAACTCCAGCTTGTCAAAAGGGTCTTCTTCACACTCAAAGTCTGCCGGGTTGAAGTCGGCCTTGGTGTGAGGGGGGCTCAAGACTTTCTGCTTCAGAGCGCTGCTGTTGGCTGGGGTGGGAGTAAGGATGGAGTTGTGATGCATGCCGGCCAGGATGGGGTTGATGGGGAGGGGCAGGGCAGCCCCTGGACCACGACCCTCGGAGAGCTGCTCCTCCGAGGCCCCCTTCACGTTGGCTAGGGCCTCCTTTGCTTTCCGCTCGGATTCTTCCTGGACGGCTTGTATTCTTTTAATGTTCTCAGCCCACTCGATGGTTTTCTTTTCCAGTGAGAAGTCATACTGAAAAGAGAGAAAGGAATCAGGGTAACCGGCTGGAGAACCAACGGAAGAGAAGATTCGTAGCTCAGGGTTGAAGTGTGGGGTCGTTCGGTGCTTTCTGAATTTGGTTTCTTGGCAGAAGTTTCATGACCCAGCTAGGTAACATCATCAGTGCTAGAAGGGAGAGGGGATTGAGAAATGAAGGAGTGGTGGTGCAGGAGGAAGGAGGAGGAAGTAAAGGGAGAAGGAGGAGGAGAAAAAGGAGAGAGAGGGAGCAGGAATAAAGAGAAAGGGAGGAGGAAAAAGAGAGAGAGGGAGGAGGGGGGAAATAGAGAGAGGGAGGAGGAAGAAGACCGCGGGGTCCTTGACGCTCTCTGAGCTTGGTAGTTTTCTTGCAGATGTTTCATGACCCAGCTGGGTAACATCATCAGTGCTAGAAGGGAGTGGGGATTAAGAAATGAAGGAATGGTGGTGCTGGAGGAAGGAGGAGGAAGTAGAGGAGGAGGAGGTAAAGAGAGAGGAGTAGGAAAAGGAAAGGGAGGGAGGAGGAAAGAGAGAGGGAGGAGGAGGAAAAGGAGAGGGAGGAGGAGGAGGAAAAGGAGAGGGAGGGAGGGAGGAGGAGGAGGAGGAAAAGGAGAGGGAGGGAGATAGGGAGGAGGAAAAGGAGAGGGAGGGAGGAGGAAAGAGAGGGAGGAGGAAAGAGAGGGAGGAGGAGGAAAGGGGAGGGAGGGAAGAGGAAAGAGAGAGGGAGGAGGAGGAAAAGGAGAGGGAGGGAGGGGGGAGGAAAGAGGGAGGGAGGAGGAGGAAAGAGAGAGGGAGGAGTAGGAAAAGGAGAGGGAGGGAGGAGGAAGAGGGAGGAGGAGGAAAAGGAGGGAGGAAGGGAGGAGGAAAGAGGGAGGAGGAGGAAAAGGAGAGGGAGGGTGGAGAAAAGAGAGAGGGAGGAGGAGGAAAAGGAGAGGAGGGGGAGAAAATAAAGGAGAGAGGGAGGAGGAGGACTGTGGGGTCCTTGGTGCTCTCTTGGTGGTTTTCTTGCAGATGTTTCATGACCCAGCTAGGTAACATCATCAGTGCTAGAAGGAAGGGGGGATATTGCAGAATGAAGGAGTGGTGGTGGTAGAGGAGAGGGGAGCAGGAAGAGGTGGAAGAGGAGGGAGAGGGAGAGGGGGGAGGAGAGGGGAGGGGAGGAAAAAGAGGAGGAGGACTGTGGGACCCTTGGTGCTCTCTGAGCATGGTTGTTTTCTTGCAGACATTTCATTGTCAAACTGGATAACATCATCAGCATTAGAAAGGAGTGGGGTTTGCTCTCATTTTTATATACTAGTATATAAAATAAGAGCCAACTCCACTCCCTTCTAGCATCAACGATGTTACCTAGTTTGGATGATGAAACGTCTGCAAGAAAACCACCAAGCTCAGAGAGCACCGAGGACCTTGCATTGGAAAACTCCGAGAGCGAAGATATTTCCTCCAAAGGAAAAGCACCTATTGAAAAAGGCACCATCAGATCCTTTTGGGTAGTTTATTGAGAACTAGATAAGGAGCCCTTATTAAGATAACTTTTGCAAAGACCAAGTATGAACTCAAAACACCCTGGCTGTGAGGACACCTCAGATCATTTGCCTGCCAATCTAACATCTTCGAAAGAAAGAGGACCTCTGCCTTTTACTGCAACTTCTACAGACCTTCTCCCTGATGACTAACAAATATATACAGACAACTTGGGCTGCAGATCCGCTGTTTGTTCTTTGGCTTCTACAAACAACACGGCAGAGATGCAAACAAAACAAACAGATATATTTTAAGGAAACAGAAGGAATCGACCCAATGAGGTCAACAAGAGAAGGGCTTTAGACTGAAATGAGTTTAATTAGAGACGTAAGTTAGAAACTAGCGATCTTTAATTGGACTATTTTTTTCCTAATTGTGATTCGGCAGATTAAACAGGTGGAAGCACCATCTTAAAAAAATGTTCAGAATGTAGGACTCACCTGGGCTTCGCTTATCAATTGTAGAGATTCTGGCAAATAGAAACCAATGGGCAAGCCAACTTTGGCGGGTCTTCTGAACTTTTCTCCTATCTTAAATGGAACATCATCAAGGTAGCTGACCAGCCCTGAAAGGAAGAAGACAGACAGTGATTTAGCACAGGGCTTTTCAACCTTTTCACCCATTGTAACACTTTTAGGATATGACAACATCCGAGTACCACCAGTCGCCTAGCAAGGTGTCACGAACTTGATGACAAAAAAAAAAAAGCAAAAAAGTGATGAAGTACAGGTAGTCCTCGACTTACAACAGTTCACTTAGTGACTGTCCGAAATTACAATGGCACTGAAAAAAATGCCCCCCAAGCCACAGCCGAGCAAGATACCTGCCTGCACTCTTCCTCCTGTCCGAGATTTTCATTGTTGTGAGCATTTCTGTTGAGGATTGGCAGCGGGGGTGGGTGGGGTGGTGTTTGGTTTTTATTCCCCCCCCCCGTCTGCTGGGTGGTTGCAGCAGGTTTTGGTCACTTCACATGACCCTGGGACACTGTGACCGTCATAAATATGAATCAGTTGCCAAGCATCTGAATGTAAATCACAAGACCCTGGAGATGCCGCAACATTCCAGCTGATTGGCGCTTCTTCAGGGCTCAGCAGAAGCACCAGGATCAGCGCTGAGCTCCAGCTGGAGCCTGACGCTGATCCTGGCGCTTCCACTGAGCCCTGACAGCCCTGCAGCACCAGCCATCTCTCATTCAGGTTTGTGCAGTGCTGCCACCGGTTCAGCTCATTCCACTCCCCCGCTACCACTTTTCTAGGATGGTCGCATACCACCTGCCAGGTGCCAATGTACCACAGGTGGTACCCGTACCACTGGTTGAAAAATCTTGATTTAGCAGATATTGATCAACATAGATCTTCTACTTATCCAGTTTGCTCAGTGTAGTGTAATGGTTAAAACTAGAGCTGAAAGCTTAAGAGCCAGTTTAGTGTCTGGTGAAGGTATCAGGCTACAAACGGGGAGACTGTGAGTTCCAGGCTCACCTGAAGCACAAACCTAGCTAGACGACCTGGAGCCCATCCCTCTCTCAGCCTTAAGGAGGAAGCAAGGACAAAACACTGCGGAAACCCTGGCAAAAAAAGCTGCAGGGACGTGTCCAGGCAATTGCTAGGAGCCAACCCTGACTGAACAGAAAAGAATGACAGAGTTGGAAGGGACTTTGGAGGTCTTCTAGTCCAACCCCTTGCTCAAGCAGGAGACCCTGTACCAGGGGTAGGCAATCTTGGCTCTTTTATGACTCGTGGACTTCAAACTTCAACTCCCAGAATTCCTGAGCCAGCATGGCTCAGCTTGGAAACCTCTCCCGTTTCCCTCAGCATGGCTGGCTCAGGAATTCTGGGAGTTGAAGTCCACGAGTCATAAAAGAGCCAAGGTTGCCTACTCCTGCTGTATACCATTTCAGACAAGTGGCTGTCTCATCTTGAAAACCTCCAGTGATGGAGCATCCACAACCTCTGAAGGCAAACAGTCCCGCCGATTGATTGTTCTCTTACTGTCAGGAAATTTCTCCATAATTCCAGGTTGCTTCTCTCCTTGGTTAATTTCCATCCGTTGCTTCTTGTTCTGCCTTCAGGTGCTTTGGAGAACAGCTTGACTCCCTCTTCTTTGAGGCAGCCCCTCAAATATTCGAAGGCTGCTATCCTGTCAAGCCTAATCCTTCTTTTCAGCAAACCCTTCCTCATACGTTTTAGCCTCCAGTCCCCTAATCATCTGTTGTTTTTCTGTGCGTTCTTTCGAGGGTCTCAACATATTGTGGTGACCAAAACTGGAGGCAGTAATCCAAGTGTGGATTTACTAAGGAATTATAGAGTGGTGCTAACACTTCATGTGCTCTTGAGTCTACCTCTGTTAAAACTAGGCACCAAACAACAACTGCAACAAAAACCACTGCTCCGAGTCGGTCCAACCTGTTATCTAACTCAGTCTTCCAAGTGTGCTGGGATTGCAACTTCTAGAGTTCTTAGCTATGTTAGGAAAAGCTGGCGTTGTCCAACACTTCTATTCCTTTTGAGAACACAAGTTCCCAACCAATGTCTATTACTAAAGATAAGAAATAGAGAGTTTTACACAACCAAGAGGTCCACGCGGGGCACAGCGGTTGTGCAATTTTCTATTCTGGAGATTGGCCTTCCACAAGAGAGCAATTCTCTGAAACTGTTCCACCACAATGATCCAACACGGTCTTCTTAAACTGAGTGCCTTGGTCAAATACAGGCAGTCCTCGACTTACAAACATAACCGAGTCTGGAATTATGACTGCAGTCATTAATTGGGTCAGCACAGGGTGTATGGCCATCATAATTTTTAAATTGGGTTGTGTTTTTTTGGTGGGGGGGTCTATCATAACTTAAAATGGTCAGTAAACGACCAGTCACAAGCTAAGGACACACTTTGCATCACTTCAGTACATTTTAAGCAAGACTTTAGATGTGAGAGGACCTCCTGTTGTTTATTAGCACCCCAAAAATGTACAACCAAGATCAGGTGCAAAATAAGAAAACATTGTCACTTTTTTCTCTGAACACACAACAGGCACACATTCAAAAATGAAATTCTGATGCCCGCTCTCAAGAGACGCTGTATAGCAGGGGGTCTTCAAACGTGGTCCTTTTCTGACTTGTGGATTTCAAGTCCCAGAATTCCTCAGCCAGCCACACGTGCCTGGCTGAGGAATTCTGGGAGTTGAAGTCCACAAGTCAGAAAAGGGCCACGTTTGAAGACCCCTGCTGTATAGTAAGTGTACAATGGTAAAAATTATTAAACTGCCTGCTTCCAGGCATACGCTGAGTCAATACGGAAAGATGTTTTGCATTTCTGTCTCAAAAACACGTTTCCAATCTGTGTAGCTTGGCACAAATAATATATTCAGCAACTCAGTTTAAAAAAAAAATCAGCTGTGGCTGTTGTTAGTTGCAAAGCCGTGCCCGACCCATCGCGACCCCATGGACAACATTCCTCCAGGCCTTCCTGTCCTCTACCATCTTCTGGAGTCCATTGAAGTTCACGCCTCCTGCTTCACGGACTCCATCCAGCCACCTCATTCTCTGTCATCCCATTCTTCTCTTGCCCTCCATCTTTCCCAGCATTAGGCTCTTCTCCAGTGAGTCCTTCCTTCTCATTAGGTGGCCAAAGTACTTGAGTTTCAACTTCAGGATCTGGCCTTCTAAAGAGCAGTTGGGATTGATCTTCTCTAGGACTGACCAGTTTGATCGCCTTGCAGTCCAGGGGACTCGCAGGAGTCTTCTCCAGCACCAGAGTTCAAAGGCCTCCATTCTTTGGCGCTCAGCCTTTCTTAGGGTCCAACTTTCACAGCCATACATTGCAACTGGGAAGGGGCGTTGTCTTACCTGAACGCCTTTTCTCAGCAGGATGATGTAGAGTCCAAATGGATGGGTTCTATGACGGCCTTCCTGCCTGGCAGACTGGGTAAAAACTTCGGCCACACCCCTTCCTTTGGGCGTGACCCCAGTTTTGACTTAGGCGAGAAACTTTGTTGGAATTAACCTTGCAGCTCTTTATTATATCTTTATTATAACCCTGCCTAGACCTATCCTCTGGGTGGGCTTGGACTCTACATCATCCTGCTGAGAAAAGGCGTTCAGGTAAGACAACGCCCCTTCTCCAGCAGGATGACTGTAGAGTCCAAATGGATGGGACATACCAAAGCCCTCATGTACCCCTGGGAGGGAATGTCTAGGCTACCGAACTCTGAGCAGATACGACCTGTTGAAGAACTCTTCTGCCAAAAGCCGCGTCTGCTGCTGCTAGGGAGTCTAAACGGTAATGTCGAATGAAAACCGAAGGTGAGGACCAGGTTGCGGCCCTGCAAATCTCTTCCACCGGAGCTTGCGTTAGCCACGCCGCAGATGTAGCTGCGCTCCGAGTTGAGTGAGCAGTCACCTGAGTGGGTGCTGGCAAATCCTGTGAGACGTAGGCCTGCGCTATGCAGGCTCTGATCCACCTGCCTATGGTGGAAGGAGATACCTTCTTTCCCATAGTTGCTGGTTGAAAGGACACAAATAATGCTTCAGTCTTTCGGAAAGCCGAGGTGCGTTTCACGTAGAAACACAGCGCTCTCCGCACGTCCAGCTTGTGCCATCTGTGTTCTAGTCTATGTTTGGGTCTTGGACAGAAATCAGGAAGCGAAAGTTCCTGAGATCTGTGAAAGATGCTATTTACCTTCGGAATGAAGGTCGGGTCTGGTCTAAGAACGACCCTGTCTTTGAAAAAGGTACACAGATCCTTCCTTACTGACAGTGCTGCTAGTTCTGAGATTCTTCTTGCTGAAGTAATTGCCACAAGGAAAGCTACCTTCAGTGATAGGTGATGGAGTGAGCATGTTTCAAGAGGTTCGAAGGGTGCTGATGTCAAGGCTAGAAGGACCTTAGGCAGGTTCCAGGACGGGTACCTGTGTATGACTGGGGGCTTTGTGTTAGATGCCCCTTTTAAAAAGGCGTTAATAGCTGGATGCTGTGCTAGGGAAGTTAAGTTGTCGCAGGAGAGTACAGTTGAGAGGGCCGATATCTGTCTGCGGATAGTATTGACTGACAGGCCCTTATTAAGACCCTCCAGTAGGTAATCTAGGATATTGGGAATAGATACTGCGGTCGGGTCTAGGTGAAGCGAAGCGCACCACCTACAAAATCCCTTCCACGTAGCGTCATAAATCCTATTAGTGGACGCTCTTCGTGATGCCTGTATGATCGATATCACCCCTGCAGAATAAGATTGTTTAGTTAAGCTTTGCCGCTCAAATGCCAAGCGGCTAGTTGTAGCCACTGGGGATCTGGGTGTACAAGCTTGCCCTGACTGAGTTTTACCTTGTCCGGGGGGATCCTCCACGGAGGTGATATCGAAAGGTCCACGAGGTCGGCAAACCACGGGCGCCGTGGCCAGTGAGGGGCAATGCAGACCATTTCTGCGCCCTCCAGGATCATCTTGCGTATGGTTGCCGGTATTAATGGCAGTGGTGGGAAGGCGTACAGGAGTTGCGCCGGCCACCGGCACCTGAGAGCATCCGTTCCCTCCGATCCCGGGGACGGGAATCTGGAGAAGAACCTGGGGAGC